AAATGAGAGTGCTGCAGCATGGGCTGCTTGCTGGCTGCCAGCCCCTCTAGCTGGCTGCAGGGCTGACCCTCCCTTGGATCTCCTGAGCTCTTTTCACCTGATCTCAGCCCTCAGCGTGGGATTCTTGCCACAGTCATGCTTCTCTCTGTGGGGAATTCTGGGTGCATCCCTTCTGGCAGAGGAGAGAAGGGAACTGAGCAGAACTGATGCTGTGGGGTTTGCAGAGGAAGAGGAGGGTAGAAGGCATTGCCCTTCTGTCCTGGCAGGGCTTCTGCTAAATGCCTCTGAAAGTTTCTTGGGCAGATGAATCCTTTCTTTCCCCTTGCAGCTTCGTGCTACGTCCTGATTGCCTCTCTGCCACGATGTGTTGTTTGCATGGGTTGTGGTGGGCATCTCCCTGGGAAATGGGTACAGAAGTGCTCCAGCCTCCCACCAGCAGCAGGGTTTTGCTTTGCTCTCACCAACTGCTTTTGCTCTGTTTTCTTTTGCATGTGCTGCCCTCTCTCCCGTGGCTTCTGGATTATTCATTACTAGGTAAGAACAGCATTTATCTCTGTTCTTGGACTGAAAGTGGGGCAAGGGAGGCTGGGGCACACGGGGATGCTTTGTGTGATGGTGTCCTTGCAAAAGACAGGTCCCCATGGTTTGCTCCTCCTGGTTTGGGAGGTGGTGGCAGTGGGAGATATCCTCTGGTGTAATGCAGGATGCTATTTCAGCATCTCCATTCAAGTGAGTTTTCTTTAGCCAGAGAGAAGGGAGTTAAATGCTGCGACCGGAGGCAGCTGTGTGTGCTGTCTGCTCGACGTGGGACTCCGGCAATGACAATTCTCCAAGGGGAGAGGGAATGAATTTTAATGACATCTTGAAAGACTTTAAATTTTCATGTTAACTTCAATTATTCAGGACAGTTGGAAAGTGACTTTAAAGCTTCATAAAAAGGAAAGGGGAGGGAAAAAAAAAAAAAAAAAGTGGCCAGTTTGATGCATAAATATATATTTTTTTAGATTAATTGATTGGCACTTTGTAGTAGAACACGGGCATCTTAAAGGCTGTGATGTTGGCTATTGCACCTGACAGCAGTGCTGAGGAGGAGGGGTACCAGAATGAATGATGTACTGCCTAGAGCTATAATAACAGCCCAGTGGGGTGCAGTGCAGTGTTTGCAGCCTGTGGGGTATTGCACCTGCTGGGCTGCATGGGGTGCTGCAAGCTGGTTGCTGCAGCAGCAAACTGGGGAGATTGGACCAATTGGGGGCCATGCCTCTGCTGGCAGCAGGAGGACAGGTGGCACCCAGCAGGCATTCCTCTGCTTGGGGACATTGGTGCAGATGTCCCCAGCTCTGGCTGCTGGCACAGGGTGCTGAGCCACAGCCTTAAATCCTGGGTGCCCAGAGCCACAGCCTTAAATCCTGCACTGGGTGCCCAGAGCATCCCCAGCTCCCGATGCTCTCTTGGCAGGGGATGCTGAGCATCTCTGAGCAAGCAGCTTGGAACAAGCTCTCTGCCCTGCTGCCTTTCTCCCTCTCGCTGAGCCCGGGGCATCTGTCTGTCTTTCTGTGCCTGCTCCCCAGCAGGCTGATGCCTTGCCTCCCTCCCTTTGAGGGTGCCCCACTGGTGCAGAGGGGCTGCGCGGCACAAATGCGCCTTTTATTCCCCGCTGCTGAGAGCTGCCAGCCCTGGCTGCCGGCCCAGAAAGCTGCGCTGCTTCAGAACATAAGCAGCTATTGTCTCAGCCCTGGAGACGGCGATCCGAGCTCTGCTGGGGCCTGGAGGGAGCCAGGCTGCAGGAAAGAACCCAAGGAGGGAGGGAGTGAGGTTTGTAGGGTCTGGTGTGCTCATCTCCCCTTAAATAAGGCACGGCTCCTTTGAATCCCTGTCACTGGGATGCCGGGGTTAGTTTCACTCCTGTATAAAGCAGATCCTTTGTGTTGCAGAGGATGGAAGGCAGCTGGAAGAGTGGTCCTGCAGTGAGGGTCTCCTCCAGGTGTGCCCACTGGGATTGCAGGGACAGAGCAGAGCAGTGGCAGCCAGCTGGGGGCTGTGCGCCTGCAGCATCCCCCTGTGCACAGCTCTGTATCCTCGCTGGGATGGGAGAACAAACAGAAGAAATGCGAGAGCGTGCAGGGATGCTGCCCTTGGCTTTGTGTCATTGTGTGTTCAGATCTGTGACCTGGGCAAAAGCACTCCCTGGGTAATGGTAGGGGTGAGGAAGGAGAGATGGCCACACTCCTCCTTGGGTGCTGCTTCCCAAACCATTTGGCCACAAGGGGTTGTAGATGCTGAGTGTTTTCAGCCTAATCCGCTGCTGCAGCGATCCTCTACAGCCAGCCTGGACTGAGTAAACTTCTCCTGGCTTCAATGAAAATGTTAGTGTAGCTGAGGCTCTGCCCTCACTGTTTTTTCCTCTCTCCTCTCCCTCCGGTGCCCGACACACGGCTGCTTCTGAAAAGTAAGCTCGGTGGTGGCACGAAGGGGAAACCTCAAATCCTTGCAAAGCAATTACTGCTAATGAGACACTTCCTACACATCTGGTTTCAATTCTGGCTGTGTGTTGGGGACTGTTCTTCCCAGCTCGGCAGCGGGGAAGGTGAGAAAGCTCCTGCTGCCCTAATGCCCAGGTGCCATTCTTACCTCCAATGCCAAGCAGAGACAATTAATTCTGGGTGTTGTCCAGCCTAGGTGGTACCTGTCCTGCCAATCCCCTGCCCCACTGCTGGGTTTGGGCTCGATACCAGCCCTGGAGCTCATCCAGAGATCCCACGCTGGCCTTACATCAATGGGGGGAAGCTAAGAGAAAAGGCTTCATCTCCACTGGCTGACCATTCAAATCGGGTCTTTGTTTGCATGCAGATTTGTGTGGATCATGGGCCCCTCTGGCTGCTGTTTTTGGCAGCGGAGCGCCTTGTTATCTCACTGCAGAGTGTGGCCTTGGAGCAGGATGCAGAGGAACAGTAGGGAGGGTCAGGGAGAGAGGGATTTCAGGAAGTCTGTGTCGCTTTTATGCACTGAGCAGCAGGAAGGTGGCGTGGGAAACCTTGGCTGGTTTCCTTGGGAATGAGGCAGCACGACGTGGGCTCACCAGAGCCAGCACCACGTTGGTGGCTTCCTGGGATCCACCAGTGGCATGGCAATGCTCTGGGATGGGCGTTGGTTGAGCATCAGGAGGTGAGTTGTTGGAGTGCTCTTAGAAATGGGCTCTGCTTCGTTCCAGGTCTGGCTGCACGCTGATCTGTGCTCCTTGGGTGCAGCATCAGCACTCGGTGTTGCCCCTTTGCAGAACTTGGGTGCATTCCCCTGCTCATTTTGCATGGTGAAATTTTCCAGAGCCGAGTGCCTGACCTTGGAACACATCCTCTGGCCCTCCCTTCCTTTCTGGTTTATTTAATATCTAGTGAAACAAACTTGTTTTCCCCTTTTGATGCTAACAGCTGCTTTGCTTTGCTGCGAAATGATGAAGGGGAAATCAAAGCACGGTGGATTTTGTTGAGTTGGAAGGCAGGCTGGGCTCTGAGGCTCCTTGTCTCAATCACACTTTGGTTCTAACTGAGGGAAAGATGCATGCCTTGGGGTGGGATTTTGTGCCCCTGCACTTCTGGTCCCAGTGCCCCTATGGTGCCCAATGGACCTCTTCCACATTTTCTCTCCCAATCATCTCAGGCAAATCCCTGCTTATCAGAAGCATCCCAGAATGTGCAACAACCAACAGCCATCTGTGCTGTCAACTCTTCTTTCCCTTGGCAATGACAGCGGCCAGCTTGGATCCCCTAAAATACAGCAGGTAGACAGCTCTGTGGCAACCCCAGCCCAGCTCATCCTGAGGCTCTTAGACCCAAATGCTGCAGGGTCTGTGTCCTCCACCAACTCCAGGCCATGCTGTCCAGGAGCACAGAAGAGCTGCCAAGTGCTGAGGATGGCACAGCCCATGTCATTTGAATTGGAAGCCAGGGAAGGAGCACAGCAGCCAGATGCTGATGTTTCATCTCCACCAGAGCCAGCCATAGTACTTTGGCTTTCATTTCTGCCTTTTTTTTTTTTTTTTCTTTAATAAATGAAAATCCCAAAATAACCGTGCTGCTCTGGGATATTTTTAAGCTGTTTTTCCCCCTCTTCCTTTCTTCCCTGCATCTCCCAGCAGCTCCGAGCCGAGCGGGCTCCCGGTTGCCAATGGAGAAGGCTACACGTCACTTCCTTGGCATGGGGCCTTCTCCAGCCCTCAATGCTCACTTTGTTTTTTTCCCCCTCATAGTCTGGGTGAGCTGTCAGGGCTCTTCTCAGGGTCACATTACTCATGTCCCACAGCCCATTGTGGGAGCTGATGCTGACGCTGCACTGGGGAGCCCTCTGTGCCCCACAGGTCGGGTGTTGGAGTGGAGGAGCAGAGCTTTGGAGTTGTGTTGGAGTTGCATCCCCTCATCCTGGTGGGATGCAGAGCTGGGAGGAGACCTCTTGTGCTCTGCACAGTCACAGGTTGCTCCCAGGTGATGCATTTGGGTAGGAGGAATCAGTGCAGGATGTGCTCCTTCAAAGTGAATGGGAAGCAGCTGGTTCTTGGGAGATGCATGGGGAAGTTGGGGCGGCCTCCAGGCTGAGCTCCTGAATGCTTCCAAAGCATGAGCTTGGTTTTGGAAAACATATTGGAATATTGACAAGGCAATCCTACTGCTGCTTGCTCCCTTCTGGCTCTTTGGCTGCACTCGTTGCCCTCTGCAGGATCTTTGTTAGCCATTGTGTGCTGCAGTGCCAATGGTTATCGGTCAGAGCTGACATCTTCCCATGCTGCAGGACAAGGTGGGACTTCTGCACCCCATGGGAAAATGCCACTGCTGCACGGCATCTCCTCTGTCTGCTTCATCTGTGCAACGTGGGGCTGCAGGGCCAGGGGTGCCCCTGCTAGGGGGGCAGGAGGAGGGATCTGGGGGCAGGAGAGTGCTGGGTGAGCTGCCTGTTCTCTTGTTCTAACTGTTGTTCTCTCCTTTTTCTCTTCCCCTCGCTTTCTAAAGAACATAGGAAGCTTCTTGCTGGTAAGTGGTGGTGTGTCATGCAAAAAAAATACCATTTATTCTTTTTCCCATCCACTGTCAAACTCACTGGTTAGTCTCCCTCATCTTTCCATCCATCCAGGACACGCTGGAGCAATAGGGCCCTTCCAGAGGTGGGGACAGCACGCCCATCCCCATGGCCTGCTGGCTGCACTCACCTCAGGGGCATCTATTGCCTTTAGATCACAGTTTGAAGAGCTGCCTGTTCTTTCTGTCAATATCCTCTCAGCCTGACGTCGGTGGGCTCAGCTGGATTGCCACTGTCCTTGCAAAACGGACAGTCAAACTGTGATCTAAGGCCACCTCTCACCTAGTGCCTGTCTCATGTCCCTCTCCATCCTCAGCCCTTCATTGCCTTCCTGGGGAAGGGTGGGGGGGGAGAACAGCATCGCTCCAGGTGGTGTTGGGGTGGGATGTGGGGTGGGATGGAGCATGGAGCACAGGCTGGCTTGGCCACGTGCTTTCACTGTAAAACATGCTGAATGGGGAATGGAGGGATATAAAAGTTTTATTGAGAGCTGCTTGCTCCTGGTTTGGACCCTGGGCCTCTCTGGGAGCAGCATAGCTGGGAGCTGTGCTAGCTGAGCCGACAGCATCCCCTGCTGGCATCCTGCTCCTTAGCTGTAAGATGCTGCTGGTGGTGAGGGGATAAAGGGCTTCCTTAGGTGCTCCCTTCAAGCTCCTGAGCAGGGCTTAGAACATCCCAAGTTGGAAAGGACCCATGAAGGATCATCGAGTCCAGCTCTGATGGCTTTGCTCGTGTGCCTGCTTCTTGTTAGCAGGATGGATTTCCCCACTGGTTGATCTGTGAGGTTATTGAGCTGATTGTTTGCTGATTGTTTGCCTCACTGTGTTGCTGTAGGATCATCCTGACAGCCCATGGCTTGGGCAGATGTATTCTTTGTTGGGTAAAAAAATGTCTGGACCAGAGAGTGGTGGTGAATGGAGTTGCATCCAGCTGGAGTCTGGTCACTGGTGGTGTTCCCCAGGATTGGTAGCGGGCTCAGCTGTGATTAATAGAGTTTATGACAGTCTGGTTGAGGGGATTGAGTGCACCCTCAGTAAGTTTGCTGATGACACCAAGTTGGGAGGGTGTGTTGATCTGCCTGAGGGTAGGAAGGCTCTGCAGAGGGACCTGGACAGGCTGCATTGCTGGGCTGAGGGACATGGTTAGTGGGCATGGTGGGGATGGGTAATCTTAAAGGGTCTTTTCCAACCTGACAGGTTCTGTGATCCCCTCCATGCTGTACTCGTGCCATAATGCAGTGAGTGGCCTCAGTGCAATGTTCCCAGCCTGGCTGGAGCTCCTCACATCCAAACGTTTGCAATGAGAGCAGCAGATGGCAGTGTGAGACCACAGGAGGAGCAGGCTGTGCTGTGCTGTGTTGTGTCGGGGCTCTTGGCTGGCTGTGAACGGTGCTGGTTTTGGGATGAGCTTCCAGACCTTTGTCCTGCATTAGGATTAGGGCAGGAGTGCTGCATACCTGCAGTAACAGGGATGCTAAGAGAGGGATGAGCTTTGAGGGTCTTTGTCTCATCAGCTGGCTTCAGCCCTGCTCTGCAGCCCTTGTCCTACAACAGGGAATTGTCCTGGCAGCCCAACGAGCCAAGGGACAGCAGTGTGACCAGGGGCTGCCACGGGTTCCTGGGCACAGCAGTGGGCATCAGCATGGATTTAGCATCAAACTGCACCACTTCCCTCCCTGGGTTGATTTTGGTTTGCTGTGTGACCACTTCGGGGCAGCAGCCTCATCCTTATGGCAGCACACTGATTGCTGTGTGCAACTCTTGTTTTAAAGCACTGCCTTTATGTGTATTTTTTTTAATCAAGAGGGGTGGCAGAGACATAAAACCCATTCACTGCTGCATAGTGGGACAAGGTAGATGAGGTGTGGGCTCCATGCTGTGACTTTGGGATAGCAGAAGAACAGGCTCCTGCCTGCATGCAGGTTGTGCACGGATGGGACTTGCACACTTCTAGGCAGTGCTCAGCAGGAGTCGAGCTGGGTCCTGCCAAGTGTTAAATGAAATAATTAAAATCCCCACTTTCTCCCCCTCCCTCTCCTCTCACTGTAATGCTGGTAATTAGCCTGTAAAACTGCAGGAGGGGATGGGGAAGGGAGAACGTGCAAGCACCTTCTGCGGGCTCCCTCCTCCTCCTCCTCCCCAGGAGGGAGTGCGAAATGGCTCTCCAGGCACTGGGTGCTGTCACATAAATCCCAATTAGCTCCCTGCCAAACAGGATTAGCGAGAAGGGAGCCAGGTGGGGAATCAGCCTGGCAGCAGCAGGAGGGGGGGGGGGGGGGGGGGGGGGGGGGGGGGGGGGGGGGGGTTCTGCAGGGGCTCTGCAAGGAGGGACAGATTGACAGCTGTCAGTCCCGCCCCCGAGCATCACTGCATTTGGGGCTCAGGTTGGTACGTGGCATTTGGTAAGGAGAAATGAAGAGGCAAAGGGAATGAAATGGGCGTCTGCTGGTGGTGTTTCTTCCCACTTTGAGGTTGGTGTCCTGCAAAATGCACGTGAGCGTTCCCCCATCTGTGGGATGTGCATGGACCACGATGCACTGACCCGAGATGGAGCCCACATCTGCAGCTATGGGCTTGGGGACCCCACCCCACCCAGCCCCTTCTGCTGGCAGCAGCTGTGACCTCTTGGCTGTAAAATCCCAGGAATAAACCCATTAACAGCACCAGCCTTTCCAGTGACTGGTGACCACACGGAGGCCTTAATGCGTCGAACGCTTTCATTTGGAGAAATGGGTGGGGGAGGATGGATGTGCACAAAGATAATGTTTACTTCCCAGTAATAGAGGAGTAGCAGCTGTGCCTGAGGCTGGGCAGCTCTTGTGAGCCAGGTTTGGGGAGCCTGAGGTGGTTTGTCACCACGGTGGCTCTGTTGTATTCTTCTGTCTGGTCCTTCACGGTGCCCAAAGCATGAAGAGTGTGTGCTGGGGATAACAAACAAAACTGATGGCCCACGTGGCAAATGTGATATATCCCTAATGCAGGTGGCTCCTCTGACCATAAAACCTCATCCAAAATAGACAGAGGGCAAAGGTATGGATGTTGTGCTCTTTGAGGATGCAGTGAGCTGGAACCTGCCTCCCCCAGGACGTGCATAGGGAGCTCCTGCAGAGCTGCCCCTACAAGTGGCCCCCAATGGATGGGGTTGGGGGGGAGGAGGGGGTCCAAGTCCTGCAACCCCGAGAAGAAAGGGAAGACTGTGCCAGGCTGATTTGCATGTGTAAACATGCACCAGGGGGATGCAAATGGCCTCGCTTTGCTTTGGGGATTTCTTTTTTCTTCTTTATGGGAGGCCAAGCCTTGTTGGGCGGGGGCTATGGGGGGGAAATTGACTTTCCAGTGAGACCCTGACCCGAGGGGAGCAGTGAGGGCATGGGCTGGGCATTGCCGTGCTGCAGGCTCTGGGCACCTGCGTGTGTGGGAGATGCAGGATGCCAAGCCTGGGTGAAGGATTTTGTCACCTGCGTGGTGGTGACCAAGAGGAGGAGAGGGCTGGAGCACTCCGCACCTTTTTATGATGCTCCAGAAATTCCCAGGGAGAATTTTCTGCTCCCGTAGGGCAGCATTTTGCCTCGGCATGGGTTTCTTCCTTACCTCCCCAGCTCTGAGCGTACCAGAAGATGTAATTACACCTCGCTCTCTTTCTAATACGTATCTTAAAAACGGTTGGTATTTTTTTTATTGCTGATTTTCATGCTCCGCTCTGTTTGGCTCCTGGGGGTCCTGGCCCGGGCGGGCGGAGCGGGGAGGGGGCTCGGGCAGAGGCGCTGCCGGGGGAGGCATAATGAGTTTTGACAGTACAGTCCCCGCCTCTCCCAACATCTTTAGTTCACGAATGAAAAGGCGAAGGGGGTGGGGGGAAGAGGCGGAGGAGAGGGATTTTTTTTTTCCCCTTCCCGTGCTCTCCCGGGGGAGCAGGGCGAGGAGGACCCCGCGCTCCGTCTCGCCGGGAGCAGCGGGATGCTGGCGGGGATGCTCGCAGGTGGCTGCGGCGTGGGGACGAGGGGCGAGGAGCCGAGCTGAGCTCCCGCTGCCTTTGTGCTCCTCAAGCGTTGGGGCAGAGAGCTGCCCGCTGCCTTTGTTCACAGCCGTTCCTGCTCCCATCACGGGCACGGGCGAAGCGGACGAGCCGGCGTCCTTCCTCATCCTCCTTTCTCATCCCTATTGTCGGCAGCCGTTCCTCTCCGTAGGGACCGGGACACCGGAGCTGAGCGAGGCGGAGAAACTTCGGGGCGTGGGGCAGGCGGGGACACGCGGTTGCTTGGCTTTTTTCTTCCTTTTCCCTTGTCATTTTATTGTCTGGTGCCGCTCAGCCCTCTGACCGCACGCGGGTGGATGAGGGCTGAGCGCTGTCACATCGCACGCATCGCTCTCACCGTCGCTCTCTTGATGCCCGGCTCAGCGAGGGACGGGGACCGCTTTGGGACGGACTGGCATGTCACAGCAGTGTGAGAAGGGGAGCTGGCCCATCCCAGCCACCACGCAGGTGACAGCTGGCAGCGTGCTCCCTGCCGGCGAGGTGACAGCTCGAGGAGGGGGACGAGCGAGGCGGTGGCTCCTTGCTGCTGGCCCGAGGGCTGGGAGGGTGCCGGAGAGCTGGCGAGGCGGCGGGGGAGAGGAGCTGCGCACCAGCAGAACGGGGATGGATTTGGATTTGCGGTCGCTGTGAGAAGGGCTGCAGTTTGTGGGGGTCCTCCCCAGCCCTGTCTGCAGGGTACGGGATTGGGAAAACTCATCCCAAGGAGCTGCGGCTGCAGGAGGTGCGAGGAGCGTGGAGGGAGCAGAGGCATCCCTGGAGCCATTGGGAGGACGTGGAGGCTGAGAGAGGGGTCCTATGCTGGTCCCCTTCCTGCTGCCCCTCTGCCAGCTCTGCTCACAGGCACTGGGGTGTGTGGGTGCTGCGGTGGCTCCCCAACATACTTGTCATCGTTCCGGTGGGCTTGGAGGCAGGAGTTGAGCTCTCAGCACTTTTGCTCGTGGTTTCTTTGCCTGCTCTCTGCTGGCACGCACGGATTGACGTCTCCCTGGCTGGAAGGGGCATTGCTGAGCACGGGGCTGCGGGGGTCTCTCCGGAACACGCTCGGACCCATGATGGCAGATGTGAGGATAAACTCTTGGTCCTGAAGGTGCCACCAACCTGCCCTGCCCTCCTGTTCCCTTGAGGATGGGAACCTCTGGGAAAACTGGGGTCTTGCTGCTGCTGAAAAAAGGGGAACAGAGGGCATCTGTGTGAGCTCGTGGCTGCTCTGCCTTGGATGGATCACCAGCAGGTTGAACTTTAAGCACAGCATGACGGCTTGCCAGTACCCCATGGCACCGGGAGCCTTGGAACGGGACCGGCTGTACCAGCACAAGGTCTCCTTGGTGGTGCGCTACTTCATGATCCCGTGCAACATTTGCCTCATCCTCCTGGCCACCTCCACGCTGGGATTTGCTGTGCTGCTCTTCCTCAATAACTGTAGGTGCCCCTCAGGGGTGTGGGAGGAGCAGGGGAGGGAAGGGGAAGGAGAAGCAGGAGAAGGCTGGGGAGAGGTGGAAGTCCTTTTTCAGTGCTCAGGCTGCCAGTCTGCTTCTGGCGTGGCTGAGCATATTGCACACAGCCACGTGTTGCTGGCTGCTCTGTGGCCTCATCCTTGCACCAGCCTTTCTCCAGGCACACTCCTTGCAATGGTGTCATTGACCTCCTTGAATGCACCTGCAGGGAGGAAAGCCTTGAGAGGATGGGTGAATCCTCCAGCTCTGGGGTGCATAGCTTCCCTGGTGTGTGTGCTTGGACAGCTGGTAAAAGGTGTGAATACACTGCAAAAGTACTGCCCAGAGCAGGGTAGATGCAATGGGAGGGGGAATGCTCGGGTGTTAAGGAAGCAGTGTGTCCCCTCTGCTGCCATGGATGCTTTGCTTACTAGGTGGCAGCTTGACACCGGCTATGGGCTGCTCCTGAGTGAAACTCTTCTGCTTTTCCAAATGCAAAGGACTGGCTGATGGCAGGGTTGTGCCTCACAGTCCTATCCTTGAGATATTCTGTCTGCCTGTGTTCCTTTGTCCCCTCTTCTTTTCTGGGCTCCCCTGGTGCTGTCCCTGTCCCAAGCAATGGGCCACACAGTGGGATTTGCACTGCAGCCGTGGCCAAATGGCACAGAGGGGGGCTGCAGCCAGAGATGCTCAGTGATGCCAGCGGGAGAGACAGGCTCCTGGGGCTGTTCCTAATGTTCCCTGCTCACTGCAGGTGCTCCATGGCCCCAGATCCACCAGGGAGAGAAGCTGTGGGGAAGGAGGAGTGTGTGCAATAAGACTGCTGATAGCTCCTTGTTTTTTTTCTTTGCAGATAAGCCCAATAGTTATTTTACCCAGACTCCACCGACCCCTCGAGATGGTAAGTACACCTCTGCTTCCTGCAGCTTGGTTCCCATGAAGGCAAATTGCTGGAGCCTCCCTGACCCAGTGATCTATTTTGTGATCTATCTGTGCTCAGAGCAGAGCAGCTCGCTGCTCGCCCTCCCTGGGGATGCATTTATCTCCGGGTAAGGAGGGAGGGCAGAGCCTCTGCCCTTCTGCTGCTTGTGTGATGCGTTCTGGAAGTGGGGAAGGGCTGGAGGAGCAGATGGGGCCTTTGCTGTGCTCTGGCAGCATTGCTGATTCGTCTGCTGAGGTTGTGGGGGCTGGAGAAAGGGACCTTAGAAAGCAGCAGTGCTGAGTTCAGTGGTTGTGCTGTGTGGATTTTGGGAAAAGGAACTGGGAAGATGGAGATGCAGAAGTTCTGCAAGCAAGGAGCAAAAAGCAAAGCAAGTGGCACATGTACCTGTGGCATGTGGCCATGCCAGATCCGCACATTTGTAGAACTTCGCTTTCTGGCAGCCAATGGGCTTAAAAGCTGCTGGCAGGCAAGCATGTGCTCAGATAATGTCATCATATGAGCTGTGTTTTCTTTGAAAATCAGGCTTCAAGTGCCCTGCTTTCTGCTGGCAGGCTCCTTCCCCAGCCACCTTCCCCATCCTCCCTCATCTCATGTGCACAGAGAAGAACCCAGCAGAAAAACTGCAGCCAATTAATAACACGTTTGTTTCTTTCTTTCCTTCTCTGATGGGGGTGGGGAAGGAGGTGGGGGAGAAACGGATGCTAGATAAAATGTGATTAATCTATAATTGGACCAGAGAAGATATCTAAAGCAAAAATAAAAACGAACGTAGGTGTAACTCCTAGCTTAGGGCTCCAAAATATGAGCAGCCCTGCCCATCCAGATGACATACTCCCAAAGATCTCTGGTCCTCATGGGAGATGGAAAAGTACCACGGTTGGTGCTGTGCCAGGCAAAGTGCCTCCTCCTGGTGCTGCAAACATCTCCCATGCCCCCCCAGGGCAGCACTGCTTGAGCAGGTGAAGTGCAGGGTGGGCTGCACCTTTCTGCACCCCCTGGAGCAAGATGAACCGAGAGGGAGGATTCAGTGGGTGTTCTTCCAGCATCTGTGATGAGTGGTTGGAGCTCTGTTTGTTTGCAGCAACCCTTGGTGGAGTTGCACGCAGGAGATGTGGAGGTTTGTGTTGTTTGCTCTGCTCTCACCATGCCCATGCACGCTCTGCTCCTGTTCCAGTGAGGAATAAGATGGAGCTGTTCTACTGAGCAGCCCTTGTAGATGGGAAAGGTGTGATGGCTTGCTTGGGGTGCCATCTCTTGCTGGTAGTTATGCTTATGGTACCAACCAGCTGTGGGAAAGGCTCAGGTCCCATCCCTGTTGGGCTTGGATACATCCCAGAAGGCAGAGAGGGTTGAAAACCCATTTTGTTTTGGCGACTGAGAATGGAGTGATGTTGGCCCAACATGCCAGGCCTGGGAGCAGCTCTTCATGCTTATTTATGGATGCATAAAAGCAGCAGTGACGCATGAGATGGGGGCATAAATACAGGGTTTGCAGAGCAGAGCTTGACTGGTCCCAGACATGGAGCTAGGCGTGGAAATGCTGGTGCAGGTGGCTTTCTGTACTGGCTTAGGAAATCAGCTGGTTAGTGCTCTAGTGCTCTCAATCCTGGATATTGTCTTCTTCTGGCTCTGGAGAACAGATGTTGGGAAATAATTGCTTTGGGCTTGGAAGTCACATCAGGTGCTCACCTCCCCTTGGTTGCTCTGCAGTTCCTCCGTGGACAGGGTCTTCATCACTGCCCCAGGCACTGGAACCCTTTCCAATGCTCAGCCATTGTCTCTGTGAAGTCCTTCCTTATGTTCGGTCGGTCTAAACTCCCCTGGTGCAGCTTGAGACTGCTTCCTCATGTCCTATCACTTGTCACCTAGCATCACCTCCACTTGCACTGGAACACCCTCGTGCAGGTGCAGGTCCCTTCTGGTGGGAGGCTGTAAAAGGAGGGGAGGTGGGGAGAGCTTTGGCTGTGGGCTGGTTTTGCCTTGCTCTAAGGCAGGGTCAGGCATGGGGATAAAGCCTTGAGCTCCTCTTTTCTCAGAGCCAGGTGGCTCTCCAGGCAGCTCTGCACCTGCTCAAGGGGACAGGGAAGGAGATGCTCAGCTAGCCTGGGAGACAAGCCATACAAATATAACTTAAAATAAAACAGTCTCTTCAATCCTATTCCCTTTGTGCCTGGCAGCACTGGAACACCCTGCTGGTTTTGGCTGCTAATCCTAGCCTAGTCCTCTTTTGACAGGAGCCAATGTGAGACTTGGATCCTGCAAAATGAATTGGCAGCGGGGCTGATCCCAGCTGGGAGCAGGGGAAGGTCTTCCATCCTTGGTGTGATGGGGAGCAGGGGGAGGTTCGTGCCCCATGTTGGAGCACTGGTGCTCTTTACCTGCTCAGTGTGGAGGAGAGAGAGGGGATGGCAAGAGAGGAACTGAACCATTCCTTTGGAACAGCAGGGCTCTGCTGGTGGCTGAGCCAGTTTGGAGTGGCTCTGGAGAGAGGAGAGAAGCTAAACATAGCTCTTCAAAAAAAGCTGAGCAGTAGATAAGGTAGCAGCAGTTATTAGACACCACTTTTGATCTCTTGAGAGCATTTTCCTCTCCATTTACAGTGAGGTTTGAGCTTTCTCTTGGGGATCAATTTATGTTCTTTTATGTTATGTGGCTTAAGTGTTAGAGGAGAAGGAGATGGGGGACCTGCAAAGGTGTTCCCACTTTTCTTTGCATCAGGTCCTTGATAGGATTGCAGTCCTTGAGCCTTACCCACATCTGTGCCCCATGTCTCTCAAGATGCAGCATTTAGCACTGGAGCCTTATGACAAAGCAGCAGCATCACAAAGGGCTTTATCTTTTCTTCCCCTTGGCCGTGCTGTGCTGAAGTTGTTGCATGAAGCTTGCATCACTGCAAGCTCCCAAGTTAGGAAACACTGCCAGGCTCTGTGCTTTGCAAGAGGTTGTGCTGACCAGTGAATGCTGCTTTTGTAGGAGTGTGTCCCAATGTCACAGTGGCACAGTGCGAGCCTCTCTGTTTTGGTGATGGAGAGGTGTTTGCCAAGAGCAGGAGCTGCAGGTGTGCAGGGGGATGCTTGTGTGCAGCCAACTGGATGCCACACATGAGGTACGTGTGAGCTCCTCGCAGCCAGCATGAGCAAACCTCAAAGCAGAAAGGCTTTGCCAGAGCTTGCAGCCTTGAGAAAGGGCAGCAAAGGGCAGCATGCTGCGTTGGCCTGTCAGCACAGATGGAGATGGGCTATGGACCCGCTGCAGCTGGGGAGGAGCTGTGTTCCCTGCGGGCACCCAGCCGGCTGCTCCTCATCTTCCTGCTTTGTAAACACCCCGCTCTGCAGTACACAGCCAGTGGGAGAAGCTTGGAACGATGCACGGGTGTTTTCCCCTCGCATCCTCATGCAGGCTCGGTGCAGGCTGCATCCCAGCTGGGCGCGTGCTGGCTGCCATCAAGCTTTGAGTTTTGCTGCTGTGCTGGGGCAGAGCCTGCTCCCCAGGGGAGCCTATGTGCTTTCAGTGCACTGGGTCAGGCAGAACCCCTCTGCTGGGGCTCCTTCCCATCCCGCTCCCCTCCCCGATGAATCCTCCCTGTGATTTGGAGCCACGACATCTTGCTCCGAGCCGCTCTCGCAGCGGGGCTCTGACAGATTAATGAGAGACCCTTTTAAGATGGTGTTTGATTCGCAAGAGCAGCTTTGATGTCTCACAGCCCAAGGAGGTGATGCTTTCACTTCCCTCTGCCCTGTCCGCCCCCGGCACCACCTTCACCTTGCTCACCACCACCTCCAGCACAAGATTTTGCTTTCAGATCTTCCAAATGATCAGCTTTTCCTCCTCTTAATTACAGAAGCACGAGGGCAGCCCCGCTCTGCTGCAGGGGCTGGGCTGTGTGCTCCGGGTGGGAGCTGGGGCTGAGATGCTTCGCTCAGATTCGGATCCTGGTGGTTTTTGGAAGGGAATAATGCTTCAATGGGCTCTCCATGGCTGTGGCAGGGGAAGGCTGGAGCTGCTGGGGTTGTGCCCCTGAGCATCACAGGCATTCCAGGCAGGGTGATGCTGCCTTTCAGCCCCATCTCAGAGGCCAGACCTTCTGGGTTAAGCATGGCTCTGCCAATTCTGGGCGGTGTGAATGTTGTCATGCCGTGGTGATGGGGCAGGCGGCTCCGCTGTCTCGCCAAGCAAGTAATTAATATTGATGGCAAGGAGGGTGGGCCCGGAGCAGGCGATGCGCTCAGACAGGCCTCGGCGGGAGCGCAGGCCTCGCACGTCTCCATGGCAACGCGCATCAGGCTCATGCAGAATTCATGTCAGCCGCGATGTCCTGATGCACCGCTGCTCCTCGGCCTGATGGTTTAGGTTGAGAAAAGCCTCCAGGATCACCAAGTCCTACTGCCAGCCTGGCTTGCTGAATGTCATCACTGAGCCGCATCCATTTGTGCCACATCCATCTGAAATGCCTCAGGCCTGGGGTAGCACTGCCTTGGGTAGACATTGCAAGGCTCAGCCATCCTCTTCGTGAAGAAATTTGCTCATCCTTCCTCTTTCCATGAAGAAATGTGCTCATCCATACTATTTCGTGAAGAAATTTGCATGCCTGCTCCCTTCCCAAGAAGAAATTCACTCCTTACCCTTGGCATGAAGAGATTTGCCCATTTTTATTCTCTTCATGAAGAAATTTGCTCGTCTTTATCCTTTCCATGATGAGATTTGTTCATCCTTACCCCTTCCATGAAAAAAAAATAACTTATCCTTACCGCTTTCAAGAAGAAATTCACTCGTCCATACCCTTTCCATGAAGAAATTTTGCTCCTTACCTTTTGCATGAAGAAATTCTCTTATCCTTGCCTATCCGTATCCTAACGAAACGATCATAACTATAACGTGAATGCTTTGGGCTTATTAGGTAGAGCTTTTTACCTCAAGATCTCAAAGCATTTGACAAAGCCAGCTTGTTATTTATCCGTACTGCTCATGTTGAGCTGTTTACCTGTTGACACCAGGGACCTGGGGATTGTTATCATTTAGATTTTTTTGCATATCAATGAGCCAAGGCATTTTTTTTAGTGAGCTGGGGAGCAGGCATGGGGTGCTTGATTTCCCACTCTTACTCCTCTCACATCAGTTATGGTCACGCTTCTTGCATCCTCCCAGATAAAATTAGAGAGGTGCTTGGGAAGGAGGAGGCTGCTTCTGAATCTCAGTCTGTTCCACCTCCTGCGTCTGGCAGGGGAATTAAGGCAGTTGGTTTTATTCTGATGGGTTCTGAGCTTATATCATCCAAACGCACCGCAGCGTGGGGTGGGTGAGGTTTAAATCCATCTGCTGGAAACAAATAGGCTTCTTCACTGGTAGCAATGGTGGTGATTAGAAGTGAAAGGAACTTAAACAGCCAATTTGCCTGTCACAATTTGTTTCTGGTTTGAAGTGTTTGTGCATCTTGCTTTGCTTCTTGGCCTGATCAGTGATGCAGGGTCCTTATTCCCTGTGTGCCTGGCTGCCCATGCTGTGCACTGATGGAGCTTGCTGGGATATTTACCTTCCTCTTTGGGCCTGGAGATAAATGGATGTTCTTTACTATCTCTTTTGTTTGTGTGGTGGGCTCTGATATTCCTGGTGTGTTTCAGAATAGAGTTCTAGACAGAAGAATAGACAGACTTCAATTCTGATAAAATATCAGTGTTCATTATGTAGCCTGACTCGTTTAACTTTGAAATACTTTGTCACCTTTTTGTCATTTGCCATTCCTTTTGCCACTTCAAAATGTGACATACTTAAATACAGTGGGCAACATGAGTACAAAGCAGATTGCTTTAAAATTGGTACAACCAAGCATGGCAGCAGATCTGAATCAACCATGTTAAAAATTCCCTTGAGGAAAGGTCAAGACCACTAGTAGAGTTTTGGCTTAATTGGCGTTGTTGTCCAGTTGGCTGCTGGCACGGAGGGCAAAGTGAGAGGGATGCATGAGCTGTATGGTGCTTGTGTGTCCCCCAGTTGCTTTCCCCCCAAGTGGCAGCAGGATGGACATGGTGGTGGACATGGACATGGTGGTGGATGCCCTGGAGACATTCAAGGTCAGGCAAGGTGGGGTCAGAGCACCTGATCTGGCTATGGATGTCCGTGTTGAGTGCAGGGGAGCTGGACTAGATGACCTTTAAAGGCCGCTTCCAACTCGAATAATTCTACAGTTCTATGACTTGCTGTGCAAAACTCATGACCTGGGTCTAGGGGAAGGAGCCTCTTTGCCCTGTGGTGTTTTCTTGCTCTGCACACCCAGCGCCATGGGAAAGGGACAGAGGAGTCACCACTTGTCCTGCTGTTCCCATTCCTTGCTTACCATCCTCCCCTGCATCCTCTAATCTCAAAGCTCAACAGGCTTATCAGCAGTTGTAAGAATGGAAGAGGGAGAGAAAGAGCAGCAATGAAAGAGCAGGAGAGACTATCCAGAGCGCTTCGTAAAAATGATAAATTGCTTTTAGATATTGGGCAGGAGAGAAAGAGAGTTCTTTTTTATTTGATGATATTAGTCTCTTAGTGGCACATTGTTGCTGTGCATATGAGCTCGAAATCTCAAGGCAGTCCAAGGCAAACGCCCGGGAATTGAAGTGTAAATGAGCCACTGTCGAGCTCATTTTATTTTGCCTTTTATGATTTCTTGTTCTGCCATTATGTAGGTCAATCTCTATCTCTAATGTACGCTGTGTACGCGGTGGTGAGACACACAGGCTGCCCGGTACTGGCAGAAAGCTCCAGCATCTCTTGCTCCCTCTGTCTCACCTGCGTCAGCTGAGTTTGGGGACATCCATCCTGTCCATTCCTCTCCTGAATGTAAAATTTGCATTCCTTCCTGCATTAGCAATTCAGATGCTGAACTGGTCTGTGCTGGCTGCTCTGATTAGTGGATGTGATAAAGAGATTCGCGCATCTCTTCCTGGAGGGCCTCCAGCCACGTGATTCTGCTGCTTTGCATAAATGACAACGAATAAAGCAGCGTGTGCGGGACGACCTGTCCCACGCGGGGACCGTTCCTTGATTCTCCTTTCTCCTACCAGTTGACAAGGTGACATCTGAAGATGGCACCCTTCTCCTCCCTGTGTCATCACCCTCTACCACCCTGTGAGCTGCAGCCCCCTGAGCCAGGCTCTGCCTCCTATCTTGGATGTCCCGTGGCTCAGGTGTCCCCTATCTCTGTCCCCAGCCTGCCGAGGGATGCTGTGTGGGTTTGGGGCAGTGTGCGAGCGCAGCCCCACCGACCCCTCCCAAGCCTCCTGTGTCTGCAAGAAGACAGCTTGCCCTGTGGTGGTGGCTCCTGTCTGTGGCTCCGACTATTCCACCTACAGCAATGAGTGTGAGCTGGAGAAAGCCCAGTGCAACCAGCAGCGGCGGATCAAGGTCATCAGCAAGGGACCATGCGGTGAGCACAAACCAGGGCTGCATCCCCTCTTGGAGAAGGCGAGGGTCTGCACGGATGTGTGAGGATGGGGGTGCTCCTCCAGATCCCACATCATTGTCTGGGCTGGCGATGCTCTGAGGACAGAGCTGACGGGAAGGGACAAGGAGAGAGCCACCAGCAGTGCTTAATAATAAGCAGGCAGGCTGATGGCCTGAGGGCGTTGCGGAGATGCAGGGCAGACCCGGGGGAGCAGCCCCCTCTCATCCATCTCCACTTCCCCACCGTGACTCAGCCCTGCGGCTGCAAGCACAGGCAGGATGGGCTGATGAAAGCCCTTCCCCAGCCTGGCATTCACCAGCTGGGAGCAAGGAGCTGTGTAAATGAGACCCAGTCTCCTCATCTCAGAGTAAATTAACTTGACCTTTCTCGCATGCAGTGCGCTGGCTTGCAATAAATCTGCACCCGGCTTCCCTGCTGGGGCTCTCAGCAGAGAGGGGAGAGCGCCGAGTGACTTATTTAAAATAATCATCATAAAAAAGTGACAAATTAAGAAGGAAAAAAAAAAAAAAAAAAAGCTGGCAAATACACCATAGCCCTCCCCTGTCAGAGAGGAAATTGCTCCTTAAGCTCTTCCTCTAATTACAGTGTGCAGGAGGTGCCTTAAGGACCCTCGTTCTGCTTAAAGAGATGCTGGCAGTAAGGAGCTGGGGGTGCAGCCAGGGTGGGGGGAGCTCCCCTTCCCCGTGCACTGTGGTTAAGGCTGAGTTTTGCACACTTTGGGGTGGATGCAACCGGCTGCTTCAGCATCAGCAGTGGACGGCAGCACCCACTGAAGCCAAGGGCAGGATGGTGCTACGTTAGCACTGCTGGTGGAGGCAATGTTTTCACTGTGCACCCTCTCCTCAGGCTCCAAGGACCCCTGTGCAGAGGTGACGTGCAGCTTTGGCAGCACATGCGTCCGTTCTGCAGACGGCCAGACGGCCAGGTGTGTGTGCCCTGCATCCTGCAGCGGCGTGGCTGAGAGCATCGTCTGCGGCAGCGACGGCAAGGACTACCGCAGTGAGTGTGACCTCAACAAGCATGCCTGTGACAAGCAGGAGAACGTCTTCAAGAAGTTTGATGGAGCCTGTGGTGAGTGCCCCGGTCCTCAGTGGGTGTTGCATGGCAAGTGTTTCTTGCATCGGGGCAAGTGGAAAATGGGAAGGGCCGGGGGGAAAAGTTCAGCCACTCCAAGGATGTCTTGTGATGACTGTGGATGCTTGTAATTAAAAGCAACTGTATTCATTAGGAAAGCCATGAGATCAGCCAGGACACGTGCCAGGCCCCTGTTTGTCCCCAGGGAAAAGAGTGTGGGAGTGTGCTTGGGAAGGCTGCAGAGCTAGAAGAGCATGAGTTGTGCGTTTATCACTCAGTCCCAAGTAGGGTGAGATGGGCACAGGTCAGGAGCATCATGTTGGGTGCTCCTTTTTTCTAGGGCAGAGGGGAGGCTTTGGGCAGCACTCAGAAATATCTGAAATGCTATCATTGTGCAGTCCCCAGGATGTCTGTGCAGCTCCCCACCCCACCGTGTTGTCTCATCTCCTCAGCCAGACCACATCCCTCACTTACCTACAGCATTTTGGATCTGCACAAAGCATTCTGCTGTTTTTGTTGGATTTGTAGAGGTCTCAGCAGGGGTTACACATCCCTGCTGCGATTCAGAGCAGCAGTGAGCCCTGGTAGCATTTGCCAGAAGGGAAACAGGAGATGGATAGGGCAGGTCCTGCGGGAGCTCCTTCATTTCCATGATTGCTGCACGTGCTGAGATAGGCAAAGCTTTTGGCTTCATCTGCAACCCTGTCCACTGCAGCCTCCTCCCTCTTCCAGGAAGGGATGGCATCGTTGCTTCCCTTTGTCAGCCTGGGATTCTGGTAAATGCAGGGATTTCAGATAGCAGGATTAAAGAGTGAAAACGCTTGGAAAAATAAAATGCTCCTTCTATCTGATGGTTGCCTTGGAAAGGGCAAGCAGCTCCGCAATATGAGTCGGTCCTAAAGGGGGGACTGGTACCCCCTGAGCCCTGATGGGGGCACAAAGAGTGGGACAGGGTGATTTGGAAGCACTGCCTAGGCAGGATGTGAGCTGACTCCTCTCTCCTCCTCCCTTTGCTCTATTAGACCCTTGTAAGGGCATCCTCAACGACATGAACCGCGTGTGCCGGGTGAATCCCCGCACCCGCCGGGTGGAGCTGCTCTCCCGTCCCGAGAACTGTCCCTCAAAACGGGAGCCGGTGTGCGGTGATGACGGGGTGACGTACGCCAGCGAGTGTGTGATGGGGCGCACGGGGGCCATCCGGGGGCTGGAGATCCAGAAGGTTCGCTCTGGGCAGTGCCAGCACCAGGGTGAGTACCTCTTGCTTTTCTCTACGCTCGCAGAAAGGAGAGCATCCCTTTTCTGAGGGATGCATCCCTGGGGATGCAACGCATCTCTGTGTTCCTTTCCCAGACAAATGTAAAGATGAATGCAAGTTCAATGCTGTCTGCCTGAACCGCCGTGGCACGGCGCGTTGCTCCTGCGACCGCATCACTTGTGATGGCACCTACCGGCCTGTCTGCGCCCGCGACAGCCGCACCTACAGCAACGACTGCGAGCGGCAGAAAGCCGAGTGCCACCAGAAAACTGCCATCCCAGTGAAGCACAGCGGACCCTGTGGTAAGCCTGCACCTCTCCTCCTCTTGCACCCAGCCTGTGTCCGTCCCACGCAGGCTCAGCTGGGAAGCCCGCAGGTAAGTGGTGGTTGGGTTCCCACCTGGCAGCAAGCCCCCAGGATGTCCTCAATTCTACAGCCAACTGAGTGTCTGCTCCTCGTGCTCTTTTTCCTTCCAGCAGTCAACTGTATGTCTGTGTCTTGTCTCTGTCTGATGTTCTCACTAAACTGGGGAGCAACCATCTGTGTTGAGCACATGACATAGCTGTGATGTCCATCAGCTCCTCTCCATCACCACTCATTCCCATCCCAGGGTAGTGCCAGCCCCTGCTCCTGCCATGCTTCCCTTCCATGCCCACCCCTCTCAGCTCCAGGTTCTCCAGCAGGAACGCTCTCCAGAGGACTCGCCGTGGCTTTGTCTCGTCTCTGGGAGAAGCTTTTGTATGTGCTAGAAGGGGTCCTTAAGATGTTGGGAACATTCCATCTTAAAATGATTGCATGGCACATGAAGAAAGTTGAACGCAGTCATTGAATTAAGTTTGAAGGACCGGTTGTTTCAGCTTGGATTTGTTTTTACTGGAGGCATAGAACTGTGTCCTGTTTTAAGCTGATGTTTTATAAGGTGTTGGGTGCTTCAAACCTTCTGAAATGCTTGAAAATTCAGCCTGGCGCGTTGGGTTTGTTGGGTTGGTTTTGTGCTCCTGCGGTAGGTTTTAATCCTGCCAGGCTCAGCTGCTGGAAAATCATTTGTCAGGCTCCCAAAATCGCACTTAATATAATGACAACTGTTATTTTTAATCACCCACTTCAGTGTGCTTCTGGCTGCTGGATGATAACGAGTCAGATCCCCAAGTCCTTTCTGGGCAGGAAAAGCACTTCTCAGTCCTTCACCTCCTGTGTCCCTGGAAGCTGCTGGGGATGCCAGCTGCCCTGGATGTGGGAGGAAGAGGAGGATGGGGACAATCAAGGAGCAAATTTCCCATGGCATCCCAAATTTCCAGGGCAAGTGGAGAGCTATTGCTGGGAGCTGCCCTGCTGCCAGGCTGCCATCCTTCCCACTGCACCCATGAAGTGAGGACAGTGGGATACACTCCCTGTGCACCTGTCCATCCCCTCTCCATCGTATTCTCTGTTATTTCATCCCCCCTCCCATCTTTTCTCCCTCTGTGTGAGTGTTTTCCAGAGGGCAGACTGTGAACACAGCAGCAGCATTTTAATCTCACACACACCTCTTTTCCAGCAGCAGGGCAAAGGAGGCAGAGCCAAACAAAACAGCTCAGAGCCTGTTTTTAATCTTTCTCTGCTTTCATACCACGATGGGACAGCTGAGAAAGGAGGGCTGGGATGACATGCCAGGAGGTGGAGGGAAGGTGGCTGGAGTTGCATCTGTCTTTTCCTCCCTGCCTCTTTTTGCTCTCTTTCTCTCCCCCTCCGCTCTCTCTCTCTTTCCTTTTTCGTCTGTCTTGTGTTTTACAGTGTTGCCTGTTTGGAGGAAGGAGTTGTGTCCTCGCAGCACCCTTCTACTCCCTACCTGGACATCTCTGCTAGGAGGTCGGCTTTCTCCCCTTCTCCATAGCCAGTGCCAGCCCTGGCCTCTCCCCACTGCTCCCTTCCTCTCCAGTTTTCCTTAAGACTCCTGGAACAGAGAGGTTCCCCCTGTTCTGCTCCCATCCCCTTGACCCGCACGCTTCCTGCCGGAATGGAGGATGCTGACTGTGCCTTGATCCTTAGAGGCAGATGAGAGTGGGAGCAGAGGTGGGTGGTACGAGACCCCACTCCTCTGCGAGCCGATACCTCTGGACTGCTCCCAGTTGCTCTCACCTCTCCTTTCACCCCTGACTAACCCCCTCCCTTCCCTGCCTCCTGCTTCCCCAGCCCTTGCATCAGCCAGGAAGCATAACAAGCAGTGTGCTTCTTCCATGCCTCAGTTTCCCTGCCTGCAGGATGGAGAAGGGATGACAGCAGGGCTTGATTATAGCATAGCCAAAGGTCCTTGCTTGTTCTCTCCTCATTATATCCACCCACATCAAAATTGGTGCCAAAATCCCCCACTGACTTCTGCAGGTGCCCAGGGCTGCATTTTGGGTTTCTCTCTCCATACAAGCATGCTGCCTCTGTGTGTTTGGGGATATGGTTATGGTACGTGTGTTGTGTTTTGTACTGAACACAAGCAGGAGATGTAAGCAGCACCACAGGGCGAAGCACCATGAGGAGCAGTTCCTGCTCCTTGGGAGCTGCTTGTAAACCCTTCAGCCACAGGGAAATTGAGGACAGCGAGGGAAGGGCTGGGTGAGAGCAGTAACCACGTGCCTCAATTGCTCTCCTGTTCCTTTGCAGCCCCTTGGCTCTGAGCTTTGGCTTGGCAGGGACTTCCCAAAGGGCCAGACCCCAAATTCAGACCTGTTTATGCCCAAGTTTTGGACTGTTCTCTCGCTGGTTCATAGCATGCAGCCAAGCTCCTGAGGCTCAAGCTTTGATCCTACTCTGCAGCTGCATCACATCGGTCCTTGCAGAGGAGGAAGGCAGGGCACTGCCCCTTCCCACCCCTGTGCTGCCCACTGGGGCTGTGCTGCATCCTCTGCTGCATCCATCTCACCTCTGCCACCCTGTCTGTTCCCACATCCTTCTCGTTGATGTGTCCTTGTCCATGTCCAGCATGTGTTACACTGATGTCCTTTCCTTGCTCTGGGTCCTCGGGGCTTTTGTGATGAATCACAGCAATGGGTCTCAGGGCAGTGCTGGGGCACTGTTGGCTTTCAGCTGCCCACGGATGAAGGGTAGTAGGACATGGGGGATTTCCCCCAGAGCCTTGCAGAACTCTGCCAGGAGGCTCAGCATTGCCTTTTTGCTGCCAACCACCAGAAGGGCTGGCTGATCACCTTCTCACTACTGGGCATCTTGTGGGGAAGGATGCCAGCTGCTCGGCTGACTTTGATGGACTAGCTCCATTATGAGAGCAGAGGGCATGGCTGCCTCTCAGCCTGCAGCCCATGTTGTGGGGCATCCTCAGGGCTCTGCTCCCCGAGCCAGGTGCTGGAGGATTGGCGTGAAGTAAGGACAGTGGCTCTCTTCATCCTGCCCCACCAGGAGGGGAAGGCATGGGGTGTGGTGAAGCCAGGCATCATTTCCAGTTGTCCCAGGCTGGTGACATCGCTGCTGCATGGGATGAGAGGTGTGGCTTCTGGCAAAGGAAGGTTGTCCTCCATCAGTACGATGCCTTGTGGTGTTGGCTGGGAACCCAAATGGGGCTTTTTGCAGAAATCTGTACAAAAACTATGGGCTGATCAGAGTCCCATGAGGTGCATGGGACAGAAGAACAAGCGTTCAGGGAGGAGTTCTCGTGCCTGCTTCCCAACCCTAACCTCTGCTGAGCATGGGGGAGATGCTATGCTGGGGGTAGAGGCTGGTGCAAGGCCAGGAGCTCTGTGCATTGCCACGGCTTGGGGGAGGCAGGCTGCAGCCGCCGGCATGCCTCGCTGTGCACCGTGCCTGGGGATGCTCAGCAGGCAGCGAGCTCACCCTGCCACCCATTTCCTATGCCCCTTCTGCAGACCTGGGTACTCCCAGCCCCTGCCTGAGCGTGGAATGTACTTTTGGGGCCACCTGCGTGGTGAAGAACCGGGAGCCCGTGTGCGAGTGCCAGCAGGTGTGCCAGGGCCGCTATGACCCCGTCTGCGGCACCGACAACCGCACCTATGGCAACCCCTGCGAGCTCAACGCCATGGCCTGCGTCCTCAAGAGGGAGATCAGGGTGAAGCACAAGGGGCCCTGCGGTAAGGAGACAGCCATACTGTGCTCGTTGGTGGGGTTGCTGACATGCATTGTGCTGTGCAAAGGGAAGGAGGGGAGCATGGCACCATTGTGCATCCTTACCCTGCGGGGATGCTGCCTGGCACGGATGCGGTGATCTTTCCTGTGGAGGTCTTCTTTCTTAACATGAGCCCTCAGTGCAAACGCAAATCAGAGCCATGTGCAGCTCTCCCATCTGCAGGCTCACTGCTTGTGCCAGCACAGCTTTGCCAGGCGGGAAGTGTTTGCATACAGGCAGAGCCCAAGCTGGTTGCTCGTGCTCCTTTGTGCAATCTGCTGGGCTCTTGCAGTTTTGTCCAAATACTGCTGTTCTGCCCTTAAATCTCCAGGCTGGGCAGCAGGTGCTCTGTACCCAGTGCTGCGCTCGTCCTCCCGTGGCCAGCACTGATTTATTGCTCCCCATAACGACGCTCAGCCTCATACTCTCTGCATCCCATTTAGCTGTAACAGCTCACAGCTCCAGTGACATTTCATCGCAATTACTCCTGGCCCTGATGGCTTTTACAAGCAGTTATTGCCATGCAGTCTCTCTCCTCCCTCCTGCAGCCTCACCTCTGCTGGAACTCCGGTCCTACAGGGCTTAGCACAAGGGGTGAGGTTGCAGGAGGGTTTGATTTTAGCTCTGACACTTCCATACAAAGCAGTTCTCGCCCTGCTGATTTAACCCACTGCTTTTTTGTTCCTCGCCCCTGCAGACCGTTGTGGCAAGTGTCAGTTTGGGGCCATCTGTGAAGCAGAGACGGGGCGGTGCGTGTGCCCCACGGAGTGTGTGCCCTCCTCCCAGCCCGTCTGTGGCACAGATGGCAACACCTACAGCAGCGAGTGTGAGCTCCACGTCCGAGCGTGCACGCAGCAGAAGAACATTTTGGTGGCTGCCCAAGGCGACTGCAGTGAGTCTGGCAAGGTCCCCTTCTTCCCTCTTCTTGCTCCTTTCAGTGGCGTTTCGAGGAGCGGATGCTCAGCATCCCCCTGCTCACCCAGGGCCCTTCAAGGTCCTGTGGGTGTCTGTGTGCTGGGGGAGGCACCGGAGTAACCTGAGGGTGGGGATGTGTGGGGCCAAGCAAAGGAAATGGGCTGCCATCAAAATGGGAGGGGTTTCATCCCCAGGGGGTGATTCTTCCCTGCTTGTGTGTGTTCCCAGCACAGGAAACGGTCTGTGCTGATTTCTCAATGAATTAAATGCCTTGCCTTGGTTTTTTTTTTGTCATTAGAACAAATGACACTTGAGCAAAAGCAGCGCGTTGAGCTCCATAAAACCAGTCCAGCTGGTCTGGTGTTCAAGGGCTGAGCAGTGCATGGGTATCCTCTCTAAAACTGGGAGAAAAGAGTAATGGGGCGCGACTCCCGGGAGCCGGAATGAGAGTCAATGGAATTTCTTGCTGGTGTCCTTGCAGAGTCCTGTGGCAGCACGGTGTGCTCCTTCGGCAGCACGTGTGTGGCTGGGCAGTGCGTGTGTCCCCGCTGTGAGCAGCAGCCCCTGGCCCACGTTTGTGGCAGCGATGGCCTCACCTATGACAACCGCTGCGAGCTCCGAGCAGCCTCCTGCCAGCAGCAGAAGAGCATCGAGGTGGCCAAGATGGGGCCGTGTGAGGACGGTGGGTTGTTGCTCTTCCCTTGGCTGATGTCACCTGGGCAGGGAGTTGTATTGCTGCGTGAATTGCATGCCTTATGTTACACTTATTCTGGAGGAAGGGGAGTGGTTGAGGTGCCCAAGGGTTGCTCTGGGTGGAGATGCTCGAGGAGGATGCCCAGGGTTGTTCCATGGTGCTGCTCCCTGATGGTTCCCACTTGGCTCTGTCAGCAGGAACAGTGTGGATGGGTCTGGGCAGCACCAGGCTGCTCTTCCCGACCCCTTTCCAGAATATGAAAGTGTTGAGGAGGTGGGAGCTCACCTGTAGGATGCAGCATCCCCCATTGCTAGCCATGATCCCACTCTCCTCAATAGTATCTTTTAATTATCTCTGGGTACGTGGGTAAAGCAGCTCAGCATCCCTCTGGAAGCAAGCTGGGACCTCTCAGCCTTGCCTTGCTGGTGGTCAGACACCAAGAGCCTCCTGAGCTCCCCTCTCTGTGGGGTGAAGCCATGGGTTAATGCAGGCTGAAAGCACAGACCTCCCCCAAACCTCACTGCTGTGATGCTGCCATTCCCCATCTCACTGCACTGGGAAGGATGTCAGTTGTGGCAGAGCTGAGGGATAGGGCAAGGCAGAACATGGTGTTTGATCACAGCCCTCCTTTGGGAATTTCAGGTTGATATCCCTCTGGGAAAAGATCTTAAATAATTCTCTGTGTAATGCCAACTCCCAGCCTTTGATCACTCAATAAAAAGGGGCAGGTTTTCCTTTTTTGCTTTTCTTTTTTCCCCCCTCCTTTTTTTTTTTTTTTTTCCTTTTAATTAAAGAAGCCTTTGAAATCAGCGACATCTCTATTCTTGCTGCTGGAGCTCTGGGCACCTTATGGAGAGGCAGCCAGGCAGAGCACAGCATTTATAGGTTGGGCAAGAAGGCCTCTGGTCAGCTCCTAAGGCATCCCTATGCCATTTGCATTGCTTAACTTATTATTGTAATGATGGGAGAACTTGCTTTCTGCAGGGGAGGGGATCTTCTCTGCGGTACAGGCAGGAGCATCCTAACATATGGGCAACCTGATCTGGTGGTTGACAACCCTGCGCACAGCAGGGGGATGGAACTGGGTGATCTTTAAGGTCTCTTCCAACCCATGCCAGTCTATGATTCTATGGCATGTTGGCCCAGGAGATATTCATGGTTCAGATATTCAGAAGCTGTCTGGACACTTGCTCCTGGGCAAGGTGGCCCTGCTTAAGCCCTTTGCTTTCCCCTGGGTCTGCCAGGACCGCCTCTCACCATGCTTCTCTTCCATCCAGAATGTGGCTCGGGAGGCTCAGGCTCTGGTGATGGCAGTGAGTGTGAGCAGGACCGGTGCCGGCACTACGGGGGCTGGTGGGATGAGGATGCAGAGGACGACCGCTGTGTGTGTGACTTCACCTGCCTGGCAGTGCCGCGCAGCCCGGTAAGCACACGAAGCATTCCTGGGCTGCTGTCCTTGCTCTCTTCAGCCTGGTGACCTTGCCACACGCATCCCATGGGCAGGAAACCTGCTCTGAGATCTCCCCTCACCATCTTGACAGGTCTGTGGCTCTGATGATGTGACCTACGCCAATGAGTGTGAGCTGAAGAAGACGCGGTGTGAAAAACGCCAGGACCTCTTTGTCACCAGCCAAGGAGCCTGCCGTGGTAAGCGAGTCCCTGCAGCATCTGCCATCCCCATCCTGGTGCCCTGACATTCCTGTTTCATGCCTGGCCAAAGCTAGGATCTCACTCCATCACCTACTCCAGCATCTCTGCAAGGACCGCGTGGTTTTGAGAAATGCTGCTCAATCTCTGCGTTGGCCATAACGCCCCTGTGCCTTTCTGCCTTTCTCCACAGCCCTCACCACGACCCCACCGCCTCTCCCAGTTGTGCACTGCAGTCAGACCATCTATGGGTGCTGCCCGGACAACATGACCCTGGCACTTGGAGTGGGTGCAGCCGGGTGCCCAAGTGAGTGATGGTCCCCATCTGGAGGGATGCTTGGGGTTCCACTCTGGGGAGAGAATTCCTCAGTTCCCAGTTAGCTAGCTAGTTTCATTAATATTTACTAAATCATCGTCAGAGTCAGCACTTCAGCAGAAGGTACATTTTGAAAGGCATTAGCACGCTGCTAACAGCTGAAGCTGTGACTGCCTGTTAGGGAAACCCATCACCCCATGGAGACACGGCTCACGCCATGCTTGGGCCTGGCTAATGCCTGTGTGATGAGGATGTAGTGCTGCTTAATGTACCATATAATTTAAAAAGCAGAAGTATTCAGCCAGCGTCTCTTCCTGGAGCTGGCTGAGATGGCAGGAATGGGTCAGGGGGACGCTAGGGAGGAGGTGGAGCATCTTGCTTTAGCATCACCCCGATGGTGATGGTCAAAGTGATGTTCCACAGATCATCCAGTCATGGGAAGAGCTTCTTCCTCACTGTGGAATCCCGTATCCCACTGGTTTCTGTCCTGTATGTGCTGGCAACAAACATACACCAGGAGATAATCCCCACTTGAACCCCTAGTGCAGATTTCTTCTCTTGCTTCCTGCCCTGCACACACCATCTCCCTGCCTCTATCTGCTCCTAAGGTCTCCTTTGCACTCCAGCTCTAACCCACATCCCCTTCCCACTGCTCGCCAGGGGCTAAGGGAGCATTTCACCATCTATCTTTGGATCACTTCCCTCCATCAACTTCCTAATTAATGAATTAATAATAAACTCCTAATAGCTTCCTCTCTCTTTGATGTCAATGAGCGAAAAGCTGTAGATGAGAGCAGAGCAAGCGGGTTAATCCCTGGAGATCAGCCCTGCCTTGTAGCTGGAGGAGGTGGTGGGCACAGTGGCGATGGGTTGATGGTTGGATTAGATGATCTTAGAGGTCATTTCCAAACTTTATGATTCATTCTACTTGGCCAGGACTCACCCTGTGCTCTCTGTTGGCTCGCAGGCACCTGCCAGTGCAACCCCTATGGCTCCTATGGAGGAGCCTGCGACCCTGCCACGGGGCAGTGCTCCTGCAAGCCAGGTGTTGGGGGGCTCAAGTGTGACCGCTGTGAGCCTGGCTTCTGGAACTTCCGTGGCATCGTCACCGACAGCAAGAGTGGCTGCACACGTGAGTGCTGGCTACTGTGCCATTTCCAGCTAGGAACCCTAATGCTGTTCCTGTTGTGAGCCGAATTCGGTGGCTGTTTCTGCAAAATTTGCACGACTGCATCAATTTAATGATTTCTTTTTCCCCCTCCTTGCTCAGCCTGTAACTGCGACCCGGTGGGCTCAGTGCGTGATGACTGTGAGCAGATGACTGGGCTCTGCTCCTGCAAGACTGGTATCACTGGCATGAAGTGCAACCAGTGTCCCAACGGCAGCAAGATGGGCATGGCTGGCTGTGAAAAAGGTGAGGGGGAGGTGTGTGGTACACAGAAATGCTGCTCTATGGAGTCCCTGGGAGAGCTGAGACCTGAGGAGGGGGGTTTGGATTTGACATTGGCTTTTTTATGCTTGGTATGTGTTTTGTTCATCTCTTCCCCCTTCTCTCCCTACCCTAGATCCATCAGCTCCAAAATCCTGTGAGGAAATGAGCTGCGAGTTCGGGGCCTCATGCGTGGAGGTCAACGGCTTTGCCCACTGCGAGTGCCCGTCCCCACTCTGCTCAGAGGCCAACATGACCAAGGTCTGGGGGATCACTAGGGGCTGAGCTGGGCTGTGGGCACAGGTACATGTGGCCAGCTTGGTCCTGCCAGGCTTGGAGTTCAGCTCCTGCCCACCAGGTCACTGTCCTCGGTGCATGGGGCAGGAATGTGCCAGCCATGAGTGTCCCCAGCACAGAGCGTTGTGCATCACTGATGCCTCTGAGCTGCTCTGCTCAGTTTGAGGACAGGTTTATTTTGCCTGAGGCTTGTTGGAGAACAGATACAACTCATACCTTGTATCATTTCTTCTCCCAGGTGTGTGGCTCTGATGGTGTCACCTATGGGGACCAGTGCCAGCTGAAGACCATTGCGTGCCGGCAGGGACAGCTCATCACAGTGAAGCATGTGGGGCAGTGCCATGGTGAGTGCCTCCTGCACTGCCTATGGCTTGCACTGTGCTTCACATCACCATGGGCACCCTTTCCCAGACCAGACCCTTCTTAACTTCCCTCCCTTGCTGCTCCTTTTAGAGTCCATCACTCACATGAGCCACACGATGCCACCCACCCCTCTGCCCACCTTGCCCTTGGACAAGCTCATCATACCCCCACCACTGCAGCTGACCACCCGGGCTACAGAAATCACCGAGCTGGCTACTAGCTCCCTGCTGATGGAAGCCAGCCCCACTGCAAGAAGTCACCCTACAACAAGGCGTGTCACGACAACCCGACCTGCCACCACACCATGGATGACCCATGGAGTACTGAAGACCACCGTCCGCCCTCTCTCCACCTCTCCAGTGGTCCTGGCCACCACTCAGCCTGCCTTCGCTGAATCAGGCAGTGCAGAAGGCAGTGGGGACCAGGAGATGAGCATCAGTGGGGACCAGGAATCCAGTGGGGCAGGCTCTGCTGGTGAGCATTGCTTGGCAGGTCACCTGGGGTCTTAGTGAAAGAGATGAGGCTGTGTCCCAGCCTCATGGTCTAACAGGAGTGAGGTCCTACCCTTGTTAATACTTCCTTGCAGGGGAAGAAGAGGTGGAGGAAAGCCAGGTAACCCCAACGCCAGCCATTGAGAGGGCAACGTGCTACAACACCCCACTCGGGTGCTGCTCTGATGGCAAGACTGCAGCTGCTGATGCAGAAGGGAGCAACTGTCCGGGTGAGTCTGTCTGTTTTGGTGGCCAGGAGATGGACAGAACCTTTGCAGGGCACAGAGCAGGGCAAATGTTGGCAGTGAGCCCTGCCTTGACCCCAGCCTGGGCCTGGGCTCTCAGTGTGTCCTCCCCTCTTTGCTCTGGACACCACATTTCCCTTTTTAACACACAAAAGAATATAAGTTACGGACTCTCCACATGGTTACCCACAGCAGGGATCTCCATAGCTCCTAAAGCTTTCCTGGAAGGGAACCACACTTCGGGTTCCCATTGCAGTTTTGCCAGGCTGACCCCAGCATCTTTACTCAGTTCTCTCAGCACAGGTCTTCTCCTTGCCCACAGCCACATATGGTTCTGCTGTGCCCCTGTTGCATGCCCATATCTGATTCGACCGTGTTGACTGTGTGCTGCTCTGGCTAATGTCTTTCTCTTGTTACTTAGCCGGTGCAGGGGGGCTGCTCTCCGGGCCGGAGCTCAGAGGAAACTGTATGGTAAAAGCTGCCATCTTCAGCTTGGTCTTTGCCATCTGCTCCAGCACCCTCTGATACTAATCCTCCATGGCGCTCCCCCAGACCCATCCACACTAACCCCAACACTGGCACTACCCACACACTGCCATCACCCTTTCCCCCCCAGGGACTCGAACGCTCCTCATGGGTCAGCCAGATGCCTGCCCCCCATCCCTGTGAGCCAACTAAAGGAGTTTGTCTTGTCTGCCCTCCCTCCCGCAGCTACCAAAGTCTTCCAAGGAGTCCTCATCTTGGAGGAGGTGGAAGGCCAGGAGTTGTTTTACACACCTGAGATGGCTGACCCCAAGTCAGAGCTCTTCGGGGAGACGGCCAGGAGCATCGAGAGCGCAGTGAGTCCTTTGCACTTGATTGGAAGTCCAGATAGTGCATTTCTTGCTTTGGAGGAAAAAAAGACCCCATGCAGCCACCCCACTAGGACAAGGGCCAGGTGCTTTCCTAGAATCATAGAATCATGCAGATTGGAAAAGATCATTTTGGTGATGGGGCTATTCAGATGAGAGAGCCTTCCTTAATTTCTTGGATTTCCCAAAGCACCTGCATCTTCTTGAAAAGCCTGTAGGCAAAAACATGTCCCAGATCCCTTTGCTCCTCCAGTTCAGCTATGCAGCTTTTGGAAATCCACTCTCCCACACTTAAGGAGAAGCCCCCTGTGTTGCCAGCTCTTGGAGCAGGTGGGCTTTCGTAGTAATGTGTACATCAAGGCATGCCAAGGAAATATTGGTGGGGTAAAAGCACTGTAACACAGCCTGCAGCGTGGCACAGCAAATACAAAGCATCTTTGCAAGGAGATTAGCATATTTAGAGCTGCTTCCAAGCTGCACTTAGAAGCTGGCAAGCCCTCGGTACAGTCATATAAGCAGATGTGTGCCTGGCATATGGACCGTATGGTTCATTCAGTTCTGCATCACAAAAGCAATATTTCCCAATACAATAGTGGCTTTTAGCTGAGGATCCAAACACACACACGTAAGGCTTCATTCACTGGTTCTTCTGTTCTCCCCTCTGAGGATACAGAAGACTTGACTGGGTTCTGTTCTCCCGGGGATGGAGGAAATGACAACACAGCATTGGCCCATAGGGCATCACATACCTGATGTGCTCCCCTTTGCCCCTCTAAGACCACTGTGCCCAAATTTATGGGGGTGACTATGGCACGGGTCCAGTTTTAAGTTATTTCTTCTGTCTTTGCCTTGCAGCCAAGGAAGGAAGTGGTGCCCTCCAGCTGTAGTGGTGCTGGTCCCACACGAGGCTGGGCAGGCTGCTAGCAGGGTGATAAAGCCCTGACTGTGTTTAAGTGGTTGGACTATCACTGTCTCTTTCGTGTGACTTCAGACAAATCCTGCAGCGTCTGAGAGGCAGGTTTTAAAAGGCATTCATGTGCTTAGAGATGCAGAATGGTGCCTTATGGGATTTTCCAAAGCGCATAAGCAGGTTTATCCAGATTTAGAAGAGATCAGTAAGACTTAGGTGCCACACAATAGCAAATCCTTATATGAACTGCAAGGTGTCTCTGGTCTGCACACATCTCCTCCATGGAGATCTCCTCTGCACTTTCCCCATGTTGTCTTGGTCCTGTTCTAACCTTTGAATTCAGGCCATAACGAATAGGGACCTTCCCAAATTATCCCTACCCAAAGGAGCACTGTTCTCTGCATGCATCAGTGGGATTTCTTGCAGAGGTTTTGAAGCAAACCTAACTGGGTTGAAACCAATGAGACTCGCTGAGACCTGAGATGTTTTGCTGAAGGAGCCTAACCCCATGCCCCTCATCTCCCCATTAACCAATTGTTTGCCTTTCCTCCTCCACCTCCAATCCATTAGCTGGATGAGCTTTTCCGAAATTCTGACGTTAAGAAAGATTTCAAGAGCATCCGTGTCCGAGACCTGGGGCAGAGCAGTGCTGTCCGTGTCATTGTGGAGTCCCACTTTGACCCAGGTAAGAGCTGTTCCAGTGCTGAGAAACCAGCAAACCTTGTAATTTGTCAGAGATGTGCCCTTTGTCCAACAAAATCAGGAAGTGCTGAGCTGTGCATGGAAGGCTGGAAGCGTTCTTGTGGGGCAGGGAGTGATTCAGATGCATCAAAGGGAGGTTGTGAAGGGAAAACTGCTTGGTGGGGTTGCGTTTCACATTTGTCTTTCTCCTGGCTGTGATCAGCCACTTCCTACACGGCCGCTGATGTCCAGGCGGCTCTGCTGAAGCAGATCAGAGCCTCCAAGAAAAGGACCATCCAGGTGAAGAAGCCCCAAGAGGAGCACGTCAAATTCGTGGACTTTGGTGAGCGCTCTGTCTGTCTATGGCCAATCCCCCATCCCTTGGGTTGGGCACTTGGATTAGGGGAGAGGGCCCTCATGCTTTGGTGTACACAGCAGTCTCGCTGAGCCTCCCTCCAAAACCCAAGCTCCTTTCCTCTTTGCAAAGAGACCTGCAAAGCACCAGCCTCACCCCACGCATTGCTGCCTTCCAGACTGGATCCCCAGGCTCTTCACCACCACCGTCACCACCACCACAGCCACCACCATGGCACCTGCCACCACACGGAGGCACACCACAGCCTCTGCTGCCACCACAGCCCACGTCCTGCACCAGGACATCACGGGCCACCCCAGTGCCAAGCTGGCAGCACCCGTGAGCACCAGGAGGCCAACATCTACCCTGCCTACCACTGCCCGGCGCAAGCCCACTCGCCAACCCCCCAGCACCACCAAGAAGCCCTCACGACCCTGCGACTCACACCCCTGCCTGCACGGTGGCACCTGTGAGGACGATGGGAAAGAGTTCACCTGCAGCTGCCCAGCGGGCAAAGGAGGAGCTGTGTGTGAGAAACGTAGGTGGCCTCTGGTTTGCCTAGGGGAGATGAAGCTCGTGGTCATTGGATGGCAAGGGGCAAGGGAGTTAGAACCTTTAAAGGTCCCTTCCAATTCAAATGGTTCTGTGATTCTATGAAAACTGGGGGCAGCAAAAGTCGTGGGAAGGGAATCTCTTGGGGCTTTTGGTTCCAAACTCATGTTCCAACCAAGGATGCTGAGGGGGATACAAGTGGGAAAGTGATCTCCAGTCATTCGTTCTGTTGCATGCTCTCCCCAAGCACCGTGATGTGCACTGGTTGAATGGGGATAAGGAGCAAACCCAGCCCTGTACTGAATGCTAGCGCAGCAAGGGTCAGTGTAACCTCTGTACCCTAGCCAGGAGCAGACTGTGCAAGCACTGTAAATAGAAAGAGGCAAAGCTGCAGGAGAAGAAGGTGGCAGCAGCAATTTCTTGCTGGCAGTGCCCTGGAGCATGAGGATTGTGAGCTGCTGCTTTTGTATCTCGTGGCATTGCCTGTGGCTCCTGAAGTTACTGAGCGCAGAGAGACCGGTGCTGTCTTTTGCTGATGATTCAGGTGCTGTTCCCCCGTGCTCAGAGCTGCTTAGCAAACAGCCACCTGCACATCATGCTCACCCAGAGCTGCTGTTACACACTGTGAGCTCCCACTGTCACAGCAGAGCTCTGGGTGGCTCCGAGTGCTGATTCCTGGAAAGCTGCATCCCTGAAGCTCTAAGCTGAAGCTCTTGAAGCTGCTTCTGGATGCGGATGCTGAATCCTGTTCCTTTTAACGGGGCTTGCTCTCCTCCCTCCCTGCCTCTTGCAGCCATCAGGTACTTCATCCCCAGCTTCGGTGGCAAGTCCTACCTGGCCTTCAAGATGATGAAGGCGTACCACACCGTGCGCATCGCCATGGAATTCAGGGCCACGGAGCTCAGCGGGCTGCTGCTCTACAACGGGCAGAATCATGGCAAGGACTTCATCTCCCTGGCGCTGGTGGGCGGCTTCGTGGAGCTCAGGTGGGTGCCCTAGGTGCAGGCTCCCAGATGAGGGAGTGGTAGGAGCAAATGGAGAAGAGGGGGAGCAGTTTTTGCAGTGTATTTCCCTGTGGCACTTTGATTAATTCGTGTCGCTCGGTTTGAATTTTAAAAAGCAAGAAGGTGTAGGAGGTTGATTTTTTTTTTTTGGAGCTCTTTTTTTGGCGCTGTTCTTACACTGTAAAAAGAAACATAGGGGGAGTAGAGGGAGAGAAAAGCCCCAGAAACCCGAGGTAAAATTATTTTTCCCTTTCCAAAAAGGCACAGATTCAAGTTCCCAGCTTCAGCCTGGGGCGCAGCTGCCCTTACGGTGCATGCAACCTCTCTGCGAGGTGGCACGGCTGTCAGCCCTCCCCATCCTCTGCTCCAGGTTTAACACGGGCTCTGGCACGGGCGTCATCACCAGCAAGGTGCGCGTGGAGCCTGGCAAATGGCACCAGCTGGTGGTGAACCGCAACCGCCGCAGTGGCATGCTGGCTGTGGATGGGGAGCCCCACGTCAGCGGGGAGAGCCCCACGGGCACTGATGGGCTCAACCTCGACACCGACCTCTTTGTTGGAGGAGCTCCCGAGGACCAAATGGCTGTGTGAGTAAAGGCGTTGCACCGTGCCGTGGCACCCCGATGGGGCACCCATTAAACCAAGTGCATGGAAAGTGCTGGTGTTTTTCTCCCCCGCTCACCGTGTCCTTTTGTCCCTTCAGAGTGGCAGAGCGTACTGCAGCTACGGTTGGCCTGAAGGGCTGCATCCGCCTCCTGGATGTGAACAACCAGATGTACGACCTGCGGGAGAAAGGCAGCGATGTGCTGTACGGCAGTGGGGTGGGCGAGTGCGGCAACGACCCCTGCCACCCCAATCCCTGCCACCATGGGGGCATCTGCCACGTCAAGGAGGCAGAGATGTTCCACTGCGAGTGTCTCCACTCCTACACCGGTACGGGGCAGGGCATTGCTGGGGCTCCTGGTCCTGCTGGGTGGTCATGAGGGGTTCAAAAGCCTTTGGGGTGGCAGAGGGGAAGATGCAGTGGGGAGCTTTGGCAATGCCTCCAAGAAGTGTAGGATGAAGCCATGCCCGTTGGAAACAGAGTCAATTTCAGATCTCTCCATACATACATGAGACAGGGGACAGGATCTGTGTATTTGAGGGCAGAGCCATGTGTGGGCATCACCTGTCCTTTTGTGGGGTCCATTGCAGAGGGTCCTTGGGCCATGTGAGCCCAACCTGAGGTAGGACAGAAAGGCTGGCAGAGCCATCAGGGGACATGCCATCCTCTACCCACCCCAGAGCAGGGTTGTCTTTGGCCAGATCGTGCCTGCTGGCTGTTAGGGATGCCCATGTGACCATCTTGCTCTTCTGCTGCAGGTCCAACGTGTGCTGATGAGAGGAACCCATGCGACCCAACGCCGTGCCACATCTCTGCCACCTGCCTGGTGCTGCCAGAGGGAGGTGCCATGTGTGCCTGTCCCATGGGGCGGGAAGGAGAGTTCTGTGAGCGAGGTGTGTTGGGGCTGGGGAGGGCTGGAGCTGCAGATGTCCTCAGCTTGCATGACTAGGAGCCCGTGTTTGATGCTGAAGCTGCTCTGCCTCCTCTTCCTCACCATTCCCTCGTTTGTGCCCAGTGACGGAGCAAGACCACACCATGCCCTTCCTCCCAGAGTTCAATGGCTTTTCCTACCTGGAGCTGAACGGGCTGCAGACCTTCGTTCCTGACCTGCAGTAAGTGCTCGAGAGAGTGTTGCCAATGGCAAAACCTTGGAGATTTTACCTAGAGGGTCTGGGATTGCTGGAATTGCTGTTGCCAGGCTGCGGCAGTGATGTGCCAAGGTGCCTTGTGCTGCAGTGGGCTGGGTGAGCACTGCAGGCTGGTATCCTGAAGGTGGCATATATCTCTCCTACATGGCAGTTCTGCCTGTTGGGTCAATGGGTGGCATCCCTAAGAGATCTGTGGGACCAGGCAGGCAGATTTCTCCAAGGCCCTTTGTACAAGGGTGGTGGAAGAGTCTGTGGGCAGCTGGTTTGAGAGGTATTTGTCATCCTTCTCTTCTCAGGGACAAAATGTCCATGGAAGTGGTGTTCCTGGCCAAGAGTCCCAGCGGCATGATCTTCTACAATGGGCAGAAGACAGATGGCAAAGGAGACTTTGTGTCTCTGGCTTTGCACGATGGCTATCTGGAGTATCGATACGACTTGGGCAAAGGGGCAGCTGTGCTCAGGTAGGGCTGGAAGCAGGATGGTGGTGATGACAGGGATGGTGGCTGCTTCCACGCCCAGTGCTGCCTGGAGCTCCATCCCCAGGATGGATGCAGGGGAGGCCCCATGCTGGCAGCAGTGACTCCTGTTGGCTGTGACTGGGGCTTATCCCATGGGCTGTGCCTGTACAGGTGCAGTGGGTATTCACAGGGGCTCATTGCAGAGCTTTCACTGTATGTCTTCTCCTCCCTTCCCACCACCAGGAGCAAAGAGCCAGTTCCCCTCAACACCTGGATAAGCGTTTTGTTGGAGAGGAGTGGGCGCAAAGGGGTAATGAGGATCAACAATGGCGAGAGGGTGATGGGAGAGTCACCGGTACGTTGACAGGCCAAAGCAAGCTGCCCAGACCTCTCTGGGCTTCCAACCCTGCTCCCCTCCTGTGTGAAACCAGCTGAGATACCAGACTTGTGGGGTTTTAATCCTGGAGGTGCATGGAGGGTGGAGGAGGAGTGGGCGAGACCTGGGAGCTGAGGATGCTGTGGGACAGCCGCTGCACACTCCTTGCTCTTGCAACCCTGCATGTTGTGATGTTACCCACTGATCTTCCATTTCTCTTTCTCTTTCTCTCTCTCTCCCTTTGATTTGCATTTGTATTTTTCCTTCCCCTGCTGTCTGGATCCCAGAAATCCCGTAAGGTACAGATAAGTATGACCCACTGCACCTCCATCTCATCTGCCATTGGCACGTTGTTCTTCTGTTTTCCATCCAGATCTCAGTGTCTCACCTGCTCCCCTTCCCATCTGACCAAGCAGCTTTAGGATCTCTGTAGATTAGAGACACTCATTTCCTCTTCATTAATTTCCAGCCAGTTGTTGCATTTTTGTTTCGGAAGCATTACAATTAATCTGGTCATGTTTCTTGTGTTAACTCCACAAAGCATTAGCTAGTGACTCATATAACTGCATCCTGGTCCTGCTGCCATGGCTCAGGCTCCCAAATCATTTGAGTTAGAGGAGAACCTCCTTTTTATCATTGAAATGGCCGACAGAGTCATGGAATGGCTTGGGTTGGCAGGGCAAGGATGCCACTCACTAGATCAGGTTTGCTGCAGCATCTGAATGAATCTCTTTTCATCTCCCCTCCTTGCCAGGTGCCTCATGCCTTCCTGAACCTGAAGGAGCCATTCTACGTGGGGGGAGCCCCCGATTTCAGCAAGCTGGCTCGAGCTGCAGCCATCTCCACCAGCTTCTATGGAGCTGTGCAGAGGGTAAGCCTGGTGCCAGACGTGCCAATCTCCATGAGGACATCCCCAGCACACGAGTTCCTATGCACAAGGATGTGTCACGAGGATGTGTGGGGCTCAGGGCTCATAGTTATGGGGTACAAAGGCTGACTCTTGTCCTTCCCCACCTTCCAGATCTCCATCAAAGGGATTCCCTTGCTGAAGGAGCAGCACATCCGCAGTGCTGTTGAAATCTCCCCCTTCCGCGCCCACCCCTGCACCCAAAAGCCCAACCCATGCCAGAATGGAGGCACCTGCAGCCCCCGGATGGAGAGCTACGAGTGTGTCTGCCAGAGAGGCTTCTCTGGGGCTCACTGCGAGAAAGGTGAGGCTGTTATGGCAGGAACCCCCACCAGTTCCATCTTCTTGTTGTGCTGGGGAAGCACAGGGTGTTGGCCGGTTGGCAGTCTCCTGCAGACGGGTGGTGAGAACCATCACCAAGCTCAGGTTCCTCCCTGACTTTAGCCAAGAAACCACAAAAGCTGCAGATTTCATGTCAGTTGGCTGCAAAACTGGAAGCTGGCCCATGCTCTGCCTGTAAAGTCAGAGTTCAGGGTTGCTGTGCTGCCATGTCTGTGCCTGCCTCCCTCCTTTGTGGATAAAGGAGGATCTTCCTGATCCCCAAGGACAGACAGACAGGCTGTGCTGTGTTTCCTGACAGCTCTTCTTTTTCCCACCTTCAGTGATCATTGAGAAGGCAGCTGGAGATGCAGAGGCCATTGCATTTGATGGTAGGACGTACATGGAGTACCACAACGCCGTGACAAAGAGGTAACCTGGCTGTGGAGCTGAGCCGTGATCAAAACGAGGAGTTGGAGAGATAGGGGCAAAGAAGCCTAAAACCAGTGTCCAAAGAGAGGCTGTGAACCTTCACTTCCAGCCCATGCCTCAAAAACTGCCTTGTTGATGGAGGGGTTCCCCACAATGCCAGCGTTGGGTCTGGGTGCTGGGGTGGGGTGACACTGATGTTATGCTCCGTCCATTTCCTCTTTGCACCCTCTGACCGCTCTTGCACTAAATTCCTGCCTGAGGAGAGTGTCTGCGTTCTGTTTGTTGTCTGTCTCTCTGTCTGTCCGTCTCTTCTCAGTGTCGTTGTTTCTTTGTTTTCAAGCCACCTGAGCAATGAGATCCCCGCGTAAGTACAGCCCTCCCTGCAGCCCGCCCGTGGGACAGGATGGGGACAGGCATGGGGACATTTGCCTGGGGCTGCCACGGGTGGGCACTCCCAGCCCATGGCAAGGATGGCACAGCTCTGGTGACTCGCCGGGGCTGCTGTTTGGCTTTGCTGCAGGCAGATGTTGCTTGCTGCAACTTAGCTTTAGTTCCAAGGGATGAGCGCAGAGCAGGAAAGGTCCCAGTACGAGCCTCTTCCATCAGCAGCAAAGTATTAAATATGGAAATAAAATAAGTGGACAAGCAGCACTGATGAACCACATCCCTGCAGAGGAGCAGAAAGCTGCTGCCTTCATGTCTTGTCTCTCCTAGCACCCGCAAGGGGAAGGTCACCCTCCCCAGCCACCTCCCCACCTGAGCCAGCCCGTGCCCGTTTGGGCTGTGCATGCCCCATCCTGCAAAGGGAGCTTAGCACTTCTTCCCAAACCCCTCAGCTGGGATTTGGCAGCGGCTCTCACCAGGCCTCAAGGGCTCGTTGGGTTGCCCATAAAAAGTCACTTCTCCTTCTTGCAGACAGATATCGGGTGTGCCTCGGGCAGGACCGGCGCTCCAGTTGCTTCTCTGGGCTCTGCTGGCCGTGACATGCCCGTACATTTTGTTTTGAACATACCTTGTGATACGTACATATCTCTGGAGCTGGAGCCCCTAACGCACCCAGCAGTGCCAGCAAGAACAGCTGTACTCCTGGGTTTCCCCTTCTCTGTGCACGCCCAAGTGCCCTGAGGCTGACTCAGAGCAGCCTTACGTGACCGTGCAGCTCCCATTCCCCATCCCAAAGGCTGGCAGGTGGCTGGCCATGAAGTGCTCCTTGCACGGGGCCTTCCCCAGAAGGTCCCTTCCCCAAAATGTCCCTTCCCCAGCAGTGCCCCACTATCCCATCCTAGCTGCCTGGCTGCACACCCCAACATTTTAGCATGAGGGATCAGCAGGGACACGAGCAATCCCAAGCCAAGAGAGCATCGCCGTGCTGGGACAGGGCTCTGGGACAGCAGCAACATGCACACTTGTCTTGTTGGCTTGAGGAAGCTCAGCCCAAGAACTGCTGAGGCTGGGCAGGGTGGGAGGGCAGGGTCTCCTCTGCTGCCTCGTGCTTATTGCATGCTCCCCTTTCTTCCTGCATCTAAGTCCTGACGCATTGGACTACCCCGCCGAGCCCAGGTGAGTTGTGCCAGGCTTCTTGTGCCCCGTGCTCTGCTCTCCCTGCCTCTGCGTGTCCATGTCTCCATGCTCCTTCTGTATGCTGTATACTCTGGGCTTTTTGTTTGTAAAGGATGCAGCTCTGCAGGTGGTGAGGGCAAACGCACAAAGGAAGCCCCAGCAGATGAGCAGCAGCTCTGTCCCTTGCTCCTTGGGGCCTTTGTTTGGCAGTGGGTGAAAGGGAAACAGAGCTACAGGTTGGATATTAGGAAAAACTTCTCCCAGAGAGTGGTGAGGCATGGGCACAAGCTGCCCAGGGAGGTGGGAGAGTCTCTGTCCCTGTTGAGAACCATGGAGATGTGGTATTGAGGGTCAGTAGGCATGGTGAGGGAGGGTTGGGGATCTTAGAGGTCTTTCCCAACTTCAGAGATTCTGTGGTTCTACCCTGGGAGCACAGTGGGCGTTTTGCTTCTGTCCAGCCCTCTGAGTGTGGTGTCCCTTGGAAACAAAAAGCTGTCTGTGTTGTCCTGTCTGTGTGCACGTGTCTTGGAGCATCCTAGGAGGGTGGATGTTGACTCTGTATGAGAAAGATGGAAACAGCAATGTGGGGAAAATGCTGTCCTTCCAGCATTCCTCCCCTGGAAAAAGGCTGTGTCTGGGATGGAGAGGGTTTTGCTGCCTCTATGGGCAAGCTCAGGTGCCAGAGCCCAGATCTCTGGCTATCTATCTCTGGTGATGGCCTTGCTGGGAGCAGGAGCTGGGTTGGGGACCTGTTGCTTTCACAGCCACGTTTTAACGCTGCTCTGTGCTCTCCTGATGTAGCGAGAAGGCTTTGCAATCCAACCACTTTGAGCTGAGCATCAAAACAGAAGCCACCCAGGGCCTGATCCTGTGGAGTGGGAAGGGGCTGGAGCGATCCGACTACATCGCCCTCGCCATCGTGGATGGCTTCGTCCAGATGATGTATGACCTGGGCTCCAAGCCAGTCGTCCTGCGGTCCACAGTCCCCATCAACACCAACCACTGGACCCACATCAAAGCATACAGGTGGGAAGGGGGCAAGAATGGGGTTGGGGTGGATTACTTTGGGATGGGCAAGCGGTGACACGGGGTCAAGAGCGAGGCCCCCAAGGGTCACTCCCGTCCTTGGATAAGAATAGAGGAGAGGCATGTGGGCAATGGGGTGCGTTCTGCGACACGCCTGTCCTCCATTCTGGGAAATGCCAAAGGGAAAGGCTAAAGGAAAGGTTCGTGCCTTTTAGTTTGGCCAGCAGAAGGTTTGACATTCTGCTGTCCCCGCGTTTGGGCGGTCAGGGAGTGGCGAGCGCGGCGTGGTTGGCGTGCCATGGATTGCCGCGGGGGCAGCCCTGGGTGCCTCCTCCAAGGGTTTTAATTCTATCCCTTCCTCCTTCCCTGACGGAGCAGAGTACAGAGAGAAGGCTCCCTCCAGGTCGGCAATGAAGCTCCCATCACTGGCTCCTCGCCGCTGGGTGCCACACAGCTGGACACGGACGGGGCCCTGTGGCTGGGTAAGGGCTTGGGCAGAGTGAAAACCCCGTGCACTCGTGGCTGGGGATCTGCAATGCCTTTGCATCCAAGCACTTCGGACAAGTTTGGCCTTCCTGAAGCATCTCTTCCTGCTCTAGCTTCAGGTCTAACCCATCTTACAAAGACTTCACATACAAATAACATCAGTTTGCTTCTGAAAAGACATAGAATCACAGTATGGCTTAGGTTGGAAGGGATCTTAAAGACCGTCAAGTTCCAACCCCATGCCATGGAGTGGGTTGCCACCCACCAGGTCAGGCTGCCCAGTGCCCCATCCAACCAGGCCTTTGAACACCTCCAAGAACGGGGCAGCCACGACTTCTTCAGGCAACCCGTTCTGTTGCCCCTGTAGCCTCTGAGTAAATTTATTCCAAACATCTAACCTAACACAAAGTAAATTCTGGTCAGGAAAGAGGTTTCTGAGTAAGGCACGTGTGTGCGACGCTGGTGGGCAGGGTGCTGGAGCACAGCGATGTGTCTTTTGACATCCCTGTTCTCTCTTGCAGGGGGAATGGAGCGGCTCAGTGTGGCTCACAAGCTGCCCAAAGCCTACAGCACTGGCTTTATTGGCTGTATAAGGGACGTGATTGTCGACCGCCAAGAACTGCATCTGGTGGAGGACGCTTTAAACAACCCCACGATATTACACTGCTCAGCCAAATAGACCCCCAGGGACCCTTCCTTCTCCTTCCCTTCCTCCTGCCTATTGCTGTAATTATTTTCTATTTTTGTAAACTTATTGCTTTTTATATTTTGGGGGGAGGGGGGAAAGGGAGGGGAGGAACCACCATTTCTGTTGGGTTATTTTGTTCGGTTGCAGTATATCCAGGTCAGTCAGACTCTAATCGAGCAGCAGCAACAAAGAACAAACCTTGAACCAAGTCTCCAAGAAGTGACAGAAGAACTTCCCCATTGCACCCGTGTTGTAAATCTCACTCATACTTGAAGCTTCTTTTGGGGTTTGTTTATTTTCCCCTCCTTACTTGTGTTCTTGGGTTGCCATTCACACCATGGGGGGATAAAGGATGCTGGTGCTGGCAAGCCCTGTGGCCTTTGTGGGTTCACCACTCGCCTATCTCAGGCCCCTGTGTTCACCCCATCTCCCTCCTCCCCCCTCCCTCTCACTATAATTTATGTGTGTAAAGATCTCAAGTGCTTTTCTCCTTTGTGCTCTGTTAAATCAGGGATGCCATGCACTGGAAGAGAGACCAAGGTCTGCTCTGAGCAGGCAGAAAAGCATTGCTCTTTGGTTGTCTTATGCCTGTTTGCTGGACTGAGAGGGGCTGGGGGGAGGGGGAGGGAGTGTCTGTTTCTCTGTTGGCTCTCCTCCTCCTCCTCCTCTTGGACACATGCAGAAGCAGCTGTGAAACCTCATTTCCATGCTTTGTGTTGACCCAGACTTGTCCTCACCACCTGCTTGTCCTGGCTGCTCTTCCGAGAGCTTCTGTGCCCCAAACCGTGCACCACTGACAACTTGCAACACATCCTCAGGAGCTGGGGGTCCCCTCCTTCCAGCACTGGCTACAGAGGGCATGGGATTGGGTCCTCTTCTGCTTTAAAGAAACCTCTTGGACCTGTCCTGCCTTGACCCACATCTATTTTCCAACCTCCTGGCACGACTTGCCCTCTGCCTACCGTGAGGATGGTTGCAGAGCATCTCTGTAAGCTGGTGTTAGAACCCATGCCATGGCAAATGCTCACCGTTTTACCTTTGTCTTCAAGCTTTTGCAACACCCGGTGCAACGCAGCGGCTTCCATGCCACGATCAAAGCTCCTCCAGTGCCATCAGCAATGGCTCCAGCAGGATGGGATGGGATGGCAGCCAAGTTGGCCGGATGGGAGAGCTGGGGAAGGGTTTTTTTTTTTTTCAAGTGTTGTCTTTACTGTCTTTGAAGTGTTGTCTTCCTCCATTCGAGTCCTGAAAGCAAAGTGCCAGCTGCACAGCCACTGTGTGCATGTGTGTGTGTGTGTGTGTGAGATGTGTGCAAACACTGGGTCTCCCCGAAGCAAAAACAAAGGGATTGCAGCTCTGAGCACCGTGACTCAGGTTCCTTCTCCATGGGAAGAGCTCCCTGCTGCCACGTGGCATCTGTCACCACTGGGCCACCACGGTGTCCCCATCCCACCCTGTGAAGGCAGCTGGCAGTGCTTTGTGGCCAACTGCCTTATGGAGCATGCAGAATGGGTTGGAAGGGTCCAGCTGGCTGTCAGGTGCTCCCTGATATCCCAGGGGCTGTCGCTTTGTGGTTTTGCACCGATTCCTATCTCACCTTCTGGTGTGCCCTTCCCTTCCAAAATGCTTTCAGCCATGAGAAGTCAAAGGGCTTTTCTGAGGACGAGCCCTGAATGCAGACCTAATGAATGGGGAGAGCACCGTGGCAAACCACTCGGGCTGCTTTTTGCTTTTTGCTTCTTGCCCAAGCCAAGAAGAATCCCATTGCCTCCCCTCACCCATGCAAGTCAATGCTTGATCTATTGTCATGCCCCTAAAAACCCAATGGTTACATATTTCAGGGAAGACTGTGAGATGTGGAGGCTCCAGTGTTTGTGTGCGTGGCAATAGCACGTGTTGAGTGGCTGCTGTATATAATGTGTGGGTCCTGAGGGTGATGACTGCATTGGGGCTTCCAGCTGGATGACACGGCCACCCCACTGAGACCAACAGGGAGCGTGCCAGCTCCAGTGGGTAAGGGCACCATGGAGGAAGCTGCTCAATTTCCAGAATGCCACTGAAATGAAGCCAGGGTCACTGCAAAAAAAAAAAAAAAAAAAAAAAAAAAAAGAGAAAAAAAAAATGCAACAAGAACTCTGTCTGCTTTTGCTGGGGCTTGGAAATGCCTTAAAACAGGACGCCGTGTCCTCATTGTCGAGCCTGGGTCAGATTCTGCAGTGCTCCCTAGGGGCCGTGCACTCAACCTCGGCTTTATTTTTAATAGCATTTATAACATGTATGTACAACAACGAAAAATAATGACATTGAGGTTTGGGTTTTTTTTTTTTTTTTTTTTTTTTTTAAATAATGTCCATGTGGCTTCATTGATAGGGTAAATTAATGACCATTGTGAACTGCTGTATGAATTCTGAAGGGCAATGCACAGTAGAGGAGCAGCATGATATAACCATTACTAACTTGTGTCTTTCGTCAGTCACCATGAAATAAAGTTTGAAAACGATTAAGTATGTTTTTAAGGGGCCTGTTTTGCTTTCTTATTCTTTCTGCTCCTGCGTGCCCACTGGTTTTCATTCATCTCCTGGGTGGAATCCAACCAAGCTCTCCCATAGTGGCTCATGTGGGTATGTACATCTTCCTATGGATGCCAACCTCATGCTTGGAAGACTTGGTGTCTTTGCTTCCCCTCTTCTCAGTACAATCCATTTCTTTTCCTTCCTTGCCATCGCTTCTTCTTGGCTTTCAGCAGCAGCTTTGCATCCCATTGGCACCATATCAGCACAACCTACATGATGCCCCATGCCCTGCATCTTAACCTGGGGCAGCAGTTCCTGTTCTCCAGCAGCATGGGAGCCATGGATGTGGTTGGAGATGTTCCATATCCTGATTTCCTCTCCCAAATGGGTTTTCCTCCCAAAGCCTTTCCACGTTGAGCTGTTCTGCAAGATAAGGCGACTGGTAGGGAAGAATTTTATCCAGCCAAGAGCTCATCTGAGTGCTGTTAGGTGAGAACATCATGTCGTGCCATTCAGGAGGCAGCTAACTCAGCACACCCCATCCTTCTGACACTCAGCAATGATGCACGATGGAGCAGTGTCTGCAGCAGCCCAGCGTGAGCCGGCTCTGCGCTGGATAACGAGGCGCCCTGGCCTCACAATGGGAAACAATGGGGCCACTGTTGGAGCAGCCACAGGGGTTGCACAACGCACCACTGGGGCCATGTTTTGCTCAAGATCAGCCTCCCTGTGCCGCGTCTTCTTGACAATGACCTTATTATGCTACAACAGGCACGGGCTTGCAAAGTCAGTACCTCTTTCACGGGCTCTCCGCCAGCTCGCTGCAAAGCAATAGGAGAAAAAGCTGTCATTGTCTTGGCCGGAATGAAAAGCTGAGCTCTGACAGCTGGATGTGTTGGTTTTCTGTTCTGTTTTTTCTTTTTTTTTTTTTAACTACATGCTGGAAAAACTCTTTGTGAGTGGAAAGAGGAAGGAAAGAAGGGGAAGAGCTGAGTTGGGGGCACGCTTGGGCAGGCAGCAGGCGTGATTCAGGGAAGGGCTTGGCTGTGCTTCTGGCAGCCCCCCAGCCCACACCCAGCCTGTACTGGGACTGAGGGGACTTGGGTGCCACTGTGCCCGGCCGATGGGGTCAGGAGGGAAGCTCAGATGGCTTTGAGCAGCACCTCCAGTTGACTGTCATGGTTGGAAAGGGATTTTGGTACCCAGGACAAACCCAGAGATGCTTGCTGCAGAATCAGTGCCCTAACCCAGAGGGCAACCCGGGCACTGGGTGATCTTTAAGGTCCCTTCCATAGTATCTCAGGGTGGCTGGGGTTGGAAGGGACCTTACAGCCCACCCAGTCCCAACCCCTGCTGTGGGCTGAGCAGCACAGCATGCTGCTCAGGGCCCCATCCAGCCTGGGCTTGGGCACCTCCAGGGATGGAGCATCCATGCTGCTCTGGATAGCCTGAGCCACACTCTGTTTCTATGACACAGGGCATGAAATCTTCCAGCTGAGACAGAGCATGGGACGGAGCAGGGGGGTCACAGCCATCTCACACACACAGAAGCCACAGTGTGGTCCCTCACAGTGCAGTCTCAGTGCTGTGGCAGCCACTACATCCTGGGCAAAGGGGGGGGAGGGGAGGAATGAGGAAGGAGAGCGCAGGGCGCGTTGTTACTGGGATTGCTGCTTGGTCCCCATTGCCCCGCAGCGCATCTGTGTGACCCCACTGAGCCATGAGCTGCTGCTCCGCCAGCTGCCGGGTATTCCCCGAATAGACACGGAATTCGCTGAGTCTTATTATAGTTATAAAAGTGCTATTTTTGCCACCGTGAGCGGGCTGGGTTTGGGAGGAGGAGGGGGGGAGGGGGGGAAGCGGGAGGGGACAGCTGGCTTTGTTTCCTCACCCTGCATTCATGGGAGGTGCCAGATTCAGAGCATTCGTTCGGGTTGGTCGCTGCCTTTTGTGAGAAGCGATGCCAATTATTTGACACGAGCTCCTCAAAGACCCCAAACTGACGCATCGGATGGCAAAACGGGCACAAACCCTACGGCACACCTGGGTCAGCCCTGCCGAAAATTCGGATGTTGTGGTTTGTGCATCACCACGGACGCGGGGTGGGAGGGGGAGAAGAGATCCCTGGGTGGGTGGGGGGAGGGGGGTGAGGGGGATGGGGATGAGGATGGGGAGCAGCTCAGTGTTGGCACTCGGCGGTGTGAAGTTTGGCCAGCAGCTCTTCATCTTGATGGCTTCAGCCCCAAATCAGCGCGGAGTTGAGATCGCTGCCCATAGAGGGAAACACGTGGGGCGTGGTCAGAATAGGGGGCGTGGTCAACGGGGCGTGGTCATCTGGGGGCGTGGTTTGAAGGGGGCGGGGCCAGCGCGATGTCACTGGGAGGGGTTTCCCCCCTTGCGGGGCTCCCCGCCCGCCGGGTGCGGTGGCAGCGCGGCAGTCGGTGCAGAGCCGTGCGGAGCCATGACCTCCCGCAGGTAAGGGCTGACGGCTGCCCCCGCCTCTCCTTTTCCCCTTCCTCCCCCCTCGTTGCCGGGCGTGCTGCCGGGTGTTGGGAGTGAGGCTTTGCCCGATGCCCCCGTATGAAGTGTTTTCTCTCTTTTTCCTGCCCCTGTCCCGCGTGCCGTTGCCTTGTAGCGCGTGGTGCTGTGGGATGGTGGGAGCAAACTTACTAACTTGCTTTTTTTGGGGTGTGGGAGTTTGCAATGAGGCACTTGGAGCATCCAACACGGTGCTGGCTCTTCTGTTTCATAGCTTTGCTCTCTTTTCTGCGGTGGCAGCAGGAGCCCATACAGCACGAGGGCATCAGTCCCCGGTTCCTCCTTCCCTAATCTGCCTTCGGGAAGGGCACCCGCCCACCCGATGCATGGTCTCCTCTACTGCCCCTTTGCCATAGGAGCTGAGAGCAGCAGGACGTGGTTCCCTATAGCTGCCGTCTGGCCGGTCCTTCTCCTTAGCTCTTGTGGCACAGGGTGACCTGCAGGGGCCGATTCTGCTGTCAGAAGTCAATCGTGGTTTGGAAAATCCCGGGATGGGAGTAGAGCTGATGGGCACCTCGCAGTGAGAGTCGGTTACAGGCAGGGTGTGCTCGTTTGGGGATGGGATGTGGGCAGGGGTCTCTGGAGCATCTGTTAACCACAGGTCCTCCTCGGACACATTTATACAGTGATGTGATTCAGGGTCTTGGCTGATTTATGGGATTTTTCGGTCTCTCTGCCATCCAGCTCTGGATGCAACAGGTGCTGAGTGGTGTTTTGTGAGCATCCCTGCTCTGTCAAGAGCTTGGAGCTGTGTGGAGCAGCTCTGTTGCCATCATCTGTTGCCCCTGTTCCTCGCACCCACATGCTGAATGTGTTGCCCCTGGGCCTGCAGCACTGCTCGGGTTCTTTCTCCCAGCAGCATCACATAGTGTACCAGCCCTAGTGGGATGGAATCATTCTCATTTTGCATTTGGACAATACCCTTCTCCCTCTAGTTGAACCCAGGTGCACCCTCTGAGCTCCTACCTGTGCTGCTGGGCAGTTGGGAGCGGTTCCTGGAAAGGAATGCTCACTACAAGGCCCAGCCAAAGTGCTGGCATCAATCCTTTGTGCACTGTCAGCATTGCACCTCCATCCTTTCCTCCAGGCTCACATGGGATCCCTTGGAATTAAGGGCGTTTTGGCATTAGTAGGCTGATGGATGGTGTGGAGCTGCTGTGAGCCTGTGTGCCCCATTTGCTGTGACTGTCCCATCCTTACGGCCTTCTTAGGGCCTTGCATCAGTGTTGGTGAGTGAGTGAGGGAGAACCAAGCCCTGCTGCAGCAGTGCCATCACCAACGCAGCATCTGGAACATGGGCTGGATGGCAGCTGGTGCGTGCCTTGCCCTTGTCTGCAGGGCCAGGTCTCCTGAGATGCTGGAAGGAAGGAAAAGTCTGGAGGAAATGAGGAAATGTCACTTTCTGGCATCTTCTTCCAAAGTAGGCTTTGCCCTGGGTCTGCAGTGGAACCCATGCTGTAAGCTGTGGAGGTCCCTGCTCCTCAGTCCTGATGCTGTGGTTCCAGCGTTGTACATCAGCTGCATCCCGAAACCTTTCATGCTGCCCAGCCTCCCTCATCTGCTGCCATTATTACAGTGAGAAAACACATGCTTCCTGCCCCCGCTGCAAATGTCAATATTAAGCTGAAGTATTTGCAAGAGCTGCTTACTTTGGCCTTTGAGTACAGGAGGGAGGTGGTGATTCCTGGTGCAGGAAGCACAAACATTCTGATTCCCATCCCTTTTTCAGCAAGGGAATAAGAACGGTTAATAGCCCAGCTCAGAGAAGCAGAGCTGCCATTGCCAAGGAGAGGGCTTTGGATCAGGCCCTGGGTGATTTTCCAGCATCCCATGGCTTCCCCAGGGCAGCAAGCTGTTCTTGTTACAGTCCCAAGACAAACGTGGTGCTCTCAGCCCTGAAACACGTTCCTGGGATGCAGCTGTATCTCCTGTGGGCTGCCAAGCAGAATTCCTCGCCGTCTGCAATGGGGAAGCCAGTGTTCCAGCTCCTGCAGGCTCAGGGTGAGCTTCCTCTGCGGTTCTGGAGCTGCTCACAGCTCCTT